TATTCATTGATATATCTGATAAAGTTTTAATATCCACAATTCATAAAGAACTTGCAAAACTCAACACCAAAAATACATACAACCCAATTACAAAGTGGGCAAAGGACCCAAATAGACATTCTCCAAAGAGGGCATACAGATGTCTAATAGACATACGAAAAGTTGCTCAACATCTTAATCATCAGAAAGATGCAAATAAAAACCACAATGAGATATCATCTCACACCTGTCAGAATGGCTATCATCAATAAATGAACAAACAACAAGTGCTGGCAAGGATGTTGAGAAAGCGGAACCCTTTTACAATGTTGATGAGAATGCAGATCGGTGCAGCCACTGTGGAAAGTAGTAGAAAGTTTCCTCAGCAAATTAAAAATGAATCTGCCTTTTTACCCAGTGATCCCACTTCGGGGAAAATATCCGAAGGAACCCAAAACACTAATTCAGAAGAACATAAGCACCTCTATATTCATGGCAGCATTGTATACAATTGCCAATATAAGGAAGCAGCCCAAGTGTCCATCAGTAGTTGAGTGGATAAAACAACTATGGGACACTTACACAATGGAATACTACTCTGCCATAAAAAAGAAGACAATGTTATCCTTTGCAACAGTATGGATGGATCTGGAGAACATTATGCTAAATTATATAAGCCAATCAGAGAAATTCTATGTGATTTCATTCATATGTGGAATCTAATGAACAATGTGAACTAACAAGCAAAATATAGTCAGACTCACAGACAGCAAGCAGGATGACAGCTAAGGGGCTGGAGGTTACAGTGAGGAGGGATCAAGCAAAATGAAAAAAAGACTCACAGACACAATCAACAGTCTGATGGCATCAAGGGGTTGTGGGGTATAAGAGGACTAAGTGGTAATGGAAAAAATACAATAAAAAATAAAATGCTAAAAAGAGAAAAAAAAACAAAGCATAGCAGACAAAGGGAGAGAAAACAAGATTAGAAGAGGAAAGAAGGAAAAGAAACAATAAAAATAAGCAATAGAAAGAGAAAACCCAAAAAAAAAGAACAAAGAAAGGAAAAGAACGAAAAATAAGAAAAAAAATAGAGTATGAAGAAGAAAGAGAAAATATGAGATGTGAAAGGAAAAGTAGACAGAAAATTTTAAAGAGAAGAAAACATTAAAAAGCTATGAAAAAGAAAATATAATGATAAAAATAATGAAAAAGAACCAAACGGAATTCATCTCAGTGGAGTTTAGTGCCTGTCTGCTGGGATCTCCCTTTGGGTATTCTCCAATGTTGTCTAAAGCTAGTGTAAACCAATATCAGATGCTGTCCATGTATGGCCCTTGGCAGCCTAGTCAAATCTGCAAGTGACACACAGCTTGTGGCTGCCTCCACTGGACTTGGCTGCATATGAAAGGGGCCAAGCTATGCTTCAAGGCACAAGACCCAGAGGTGGGTCAGCAAACATCCCAAGGCACCCCAGGATCTGCCTATACTTGCCTCTGCCTGTTGACTGACTGGATGTCAGATTTAGTCACTGAAACAGCTGTTTCTGAAAGGGCATCAAGCAAAATTGGGAGGATGGAACCCCTGAATCTTCCATGATGGGGCGAAGTTCTGTTTAGACTTCAAGGAAGATGGTGGGTGTGTCCCGCTGCTCCAGAGTCCCATATCTCAGTCTGCCCTGGATTATTTCTCTGAATTCAGCAGGGTGGAGTCCCTAGTAGGCAGACAGGTGGGGCCTGTGGGGCTTCTGGAGCCTAGAGTTTGGGTTTGCCAGAAATCAGGAGTGTGTTTCTATTGGGTATTTCTATCAGCTCTCCTATGAAAGGAAAGCCAGAACATTTCTCAGGAAAGTGTAAGGAATGGTCAAGCCCCAGATCCAGTCCCTGACACTTCCTGAGTCTGCCTGTGTTGCTGACTCCTCAGCAGGGAGTAAGATGCAGGGTGATAAAAAAAGATGCAGGGTAGGGGAAGCAGTATACCAGAGGGTAGGGTAATTGTTTTTCCCCAGGCTTATTCCCCTAGGAGGGGCTTGCTCTTCTCAAGAAAAATGGTTACTGCAATATCAGGGATGACCCCCCCCGCCCGACAGGGATCCTGGCAGCTGCTCCCCCACATCTTTCGCAAATGCCTCCTACCCCAGACTCTCAGGCAACTCCAGTCCATACCACCCTCCTGTCACAGGATCCCAGGGTGAGTGGCTGCCAATGAAAAACTTGTCCTTTGGCCCCTTTAAAAAAGTTATGGCTTTGTTCCCAGAGAGTTCTGTCTTTCCCCAACAGACAGAAACCCCGCCACTTATCACCACTGGACGTTACACAGGTGGATGACCCAGGCTCTGGTGCTCTGTGCTGAGGAGTTTAGTCTGGGGTTCAAGCTTCAGGCCTTTCAGGTGGAAGCTCTCCAAGCTACACTATCCCTTTGTATCCTCGGCCTGCCACCTGTGGGAGCAGGGCTGTTCCCTTTCACAACCCAGCCCTTCCTGAATGTCTTGAGGTGGTTTCTGCCCCTCCTTGGTTAAAAGTCTCTTCTTCAGGTAGTCTTCAGTTGGTAACTCTGGGTGACCATTCATCTATTTGGTTTTATTTCCAGTTTTGTTCTGGGAGGAGGTAAGAGAAAGATCCTCCTACACTGTTGCCACCTTGCAACCCCTTCCCAAATTAATCTATGTATGCAATACAAATCCTATCAAAATCCGAAGCTGTTCTGTCTCTCTCTCTCTTTCACTTACTTGATAAAGTAAATCTAAAATCAGAACAAAAAAGAATCAAAGTCTGAAAATAGGTAAGACAACTTACAAAAAGGAGAATCAAGAAGAATATATTACCAGAAATTAAGATAATTTCAAAACCGTAATGAATAACTCAGTATGGTATTTGTACAAGGAATAATAAACTGTGAGATTAATAGAACAGAATTGACAGTGCAAAAACTGACCCATGACATAGGGAACTTAATAGGAGGAGCAACAGTACCACAGAAAAAGATGAATTATTTGACAAATAGTGACAAAAAATTGGATCCCTACGTGGAGATTTTTTTAAATGTTGGGTCTCTATCTTAAATTATCTTCAAAAGTAACCACAGTTGCAAATGTGAAAGATAAAACTATAAAGCTCATAGGAGAAAATATAGAAGAATATAGTATATCTGTGATTTGCAGATGGGAAAATCCTTTAAAGTTCAAAACATAAACTGTAATGGGGAAAATTGATGGATTTGGCTATATTCCAAAGAAATACTTCTATTTGATGAAGAGTGTTTCAGACAAAATTATCCAAAAGGTGGAATAGTGAAAGAGTACATATGGAAATTCTATGACTGAGAAACTTAACAAAAAAAAAAAAAGCCCAATAAGAAGACTAAAAGAGAAATGTGGAGAAAAAATAGGAATAGAAAATGTACAGAAAAAACCTATAGATGAAGTGTATTCCAAGAACTGAATGGCACACAATGAGATACCACTTCAATCCCCGGTCCTACCAGGTAAGCAACACCAGAGGGGTGACATCAAGGAAGAGGAGGATGTGAGACCCTTCATGCCTTGCTGATATGCTTGTAGGTAGTCCAGCCCTTCTGGAAGCAAATGCAACCCATAGTGAAATTAAATGTATGTATACCCAGTAACCACAAACTCTCCATTCCTAGAATTCCCAGCGATACCGTCCTGGGTACAGGATAAAAGACACAAAGGTTGGTAGTGCCTCCAGTGTCTCAGGCCTTCACAGGGAGTTCAGGGAGTGATATTTGGACCATGTACAGCAAGCCCAGGCAGCCCACCCAAGGTACCCTTCATTTTACAGAAGTCACCACTGACAGACCTCAGGAACATGTGCCCAGGGGAAAAAGAAAGATATGAAATTGGACTTGTGGAACAATATCATGTGGCAAATTTTTTCAATGAACAAACACAAAATATACATTTTTCCCCACTGTGCATATATTTTTTTAAAAATCCACACAATGAAAAAAAGGTAAATTGGAAGGCTATATATTACATTCACAGAAGTGGTTGTCAGGTGGTAGGAGAAGACGAGGTGTGGAGATGATGTCTAGAGAGCTGAGGTATGCAGACAACTTAGTCTAGACACCCAAGATAATGAATCATCTCGGGTAACACCGCCCCTCCCCAGAAACACATAGCTAAATTGTGTTCACCACATGAAGCTAAAGGCTAAGTCTTCATCTCTACCTATCAACCAAAAAATGCAATGTTCTTAATCACTATTTAGATAGCTCTACCTGCTTCTTTGTTTTCATTGGATAAAAGATTTTAAACAACAATCCTAGAATTTACCTAATGGTTAGGGTAAGTAATTTCATGTATTAAACTTAGTAATCTTAGATTGTGTCAAGGTGAAGTCAGATATATTTGTTGACTAGACAATGGGATATTTAGTTAAAGCCACAGAGTCATTGAGACACAGCTATACTGTTGAGCTTACTGTCATGAGGCATCACATCTGTTGGTGGGAAGGCACAACACTAATGAACAGGGATTTACCTACTGCTTCATCCCATTTACAACCTGCAAAGAAAAGCCTGGGATTCAGCTTTTTAAAATATTTTAGAGAAATATTAAAAGCTCAAGGAGCCTTGTACACCCTTGTCCACTATGAATGTATTTGAGAGGAAAACTTTCTCAGTTTCTGTATTTATGTTAAAGAAGAACTCAAGTTAAGGAACATGTATAAAGGATCCATGGGCAAGGACAATGGGCAGAGCAGGGGGGACTGAATGTGGGAGGGTGGGGCAGGGGAGAGTAATGGAGGAAAAAGAGGGACAACTGTAACTGAACAACAATAAAACAAATTTAAGAAAAGAAGAACTAAGGCTCATAGCCTGGGCCCTAGTGATGTTCCAAGTTTTATAAATTGCAAGGGCCCTGACTGTGAGCTCCAGTAGCCCAGCTCTGGCCTGAAAGCATTAGTCCCTTGTGCCTGGGCTCAGAGTCCTGAAGGATTGACCATCAGGACATCACAGGCACCTAAAGGAAGAGGAGGGAAAGCAGTCACCATGCTCACCGTGCCTTCTGGGTCCACAAGCAGAAGATGCTTGGCCTGGCCATCATGCATGCCAGTGAGAACGAAAGAGCCAGGGTTGGTGGTACTCTTCCTGACCAGGAAGTCTCCGTCTCGCTTCAGAAGCCCCTCTGCCTCCTTTCTGCTCATCTCGCCTTGGTACCAAGGCTCAGCCTTCAGCTCTTCCAGCATCACAGCATCCGGGGCTCTGGGTGAGATAGGGCTGATGCACTCCACAGAGGCAGCCTTGCTCAGCACAGGTCCTGTGGACTGGTTCTTTAGAGCATCTTCAAAAGGTTCTGCCATCAGCATTTGCCAGCAACAGGTGGACCCAGGAAGAACAAAATGGTAAACAGTACAATGTGAGGGATGGGAATGCAAAGGCAACTCTACCAGAAGAAGGAACTAGAGACAAATGACAGGCTGACAATATAACGAGATTCATCATAAGTGTTTGAAAGCACAGCACAAATCCTGGCATGACTCCTTCTGATAAGTCTGCTTTCCCAAGGCAGCTGGGTGCCAAGGATTCAAGCACACTCTTTGTCTAATTGGTTATAATGACTTCAGTTTTGCACACCCCAGGGATCCATGCATATTACACAATATCCACTTTCTTTGGAACGTTGGCTAGCCTCTTTAACAAATACATTCTCTTCTGAATAAAAACCTGCCAAACCAAAGGAAATACACAAAGGAAAAGACAAATTGCAGGATTTTGATTTTGTGCAAAAGCTAAACACAACCCATCAAATGCTTACTTCTAAATCTTTGTATTGGGTGATTTTTTTAAAAGAAAATAAAACCAATGTTTATTTGTTGTCCCATGTGTGACTTGCCCCAGACAAAGAGCCCTACCTCCCTTAGACCTTCACTGTTTTCTGGTGGAAAAAGTTCTTGTGTGCATGGCTGAGGCTGAGCTGACTTCAGGCCCTTCAGAACACGACTTCCCTACAGGGCATGGTCAATGGGAGGACATCTGCTCCAACATCAACAAATGTCAGAGGCAAATAAGTCAACAGGCACATCTAATTAAATCTCAGTGTTTGATTTTCAAATAAGTAATTGCAGAAAAGCACTCTAAAAAAAATGTGTGGAGTGCTATACAAATATGTGGTATTATAATGATTATTTGGAGCCACACTGCCAACCCAGTACAATGCAAGCACCACAAGAACAAAAACAGCATTCTCTTGGGCACAATTACATCCCCAAAGCCCTACATTATTCCTGGGACATAGTTCCTACTCTATAAATATTCAACAAGTACTGTAAAATAAGACCTATTGTTAGTAGAGGATGGGCAGAAGTAAGTTGAATAAATGAAATCAAAATCAGGTCATTTTGATACTTGTTAAATCATTTATATAGTTGGAATGAAAAAGAAGTTAAAATTATTGATTACAATTTCATTTCATTCTTTTACCTATCTTTTTCCTGATTACCTGGAGTAGTTGACAATTTTTATTATATTCCTTCTGCAGCATCATCATCATTCCCACCATCATCATCATATCCCATTATCATTATCACTATTTATCATTACCATCACCACCATTATCACCATCCTTATTTAGCTCTAGTAGTTCAAAATAAACAACCCAGGGTGCTGCCTTTGTTTTTTCACACTTTTCAATATATACTAGTCTCCTAGGGCTCTTTTGCCTTTTTGTCTCCTCTAATTTGGGGAGTAGAAATTGATGGAAGAGATAATGTTGGCTCCAGTTCTCAACTTTCCCATCTCAAATTCCAGGCCAATCTAACTCTCCCCATGCTCTGGGGCCAAGAATTGCTGATAAATTGAATAAATTAAACAGTAAAATTGTTTGACCACAAATACAACTACTAAACTGCAATTGTAAGACATCATTAAAACAAGCAGAGGCTCAGAGAACCACCACTTGTTTCTACTTGGTAATACATAGTTGTTATTTCAGCTCCACAAGAATAGGGACTTTGCCTATTTTGTTTTCCTGTATATCTCCAGTGAGTAGAACGGTATTTGACACATTAGGTGTTCAGTGGAATAGGGGAAGAGATTTGTAGTGGTAGAGAAAGAGAAGCAGTAAAAGAAAAATGAGAGGGAAGGCAAGCATGTGTGTGCATATGAAAGGGGTCTGCTGCCATTTCTTGGTTCTATGTTAATCTTGCTCAATAGACTAAGAGCTCTGTGAGGACAGTGGCCATACCATTTCGCCTTGGCATCCTTAACAACTGAGACAGCATTTAGTACACAACAGCAATTAATATATTTAAGTAAATAAATAAATAAATGAGTACATTTATTTATGTATATTGTTTGCCTCAATACATGTGCAGATCTTCAGGAGGTAAGTCAATGCCAAAAAGAGGGGGAAATTGCTTTGTCTCTGGACAACAGAGAGGAATGTAATCCCAAAGCAGAAGTTGGCCAAGTTCAAAGCCTTAAAAAGTCTAATCACAGTCCAGAAGATTTCAGCTAGTCATCCCTGTTAATCAAAACCCAGCTAACAGAAAATTCAGTAATTGCACCGATTTCCAATACAAAGCAGTGTAGAAAGCAACCTCAAAAGAAAAGGAAACTAAAGGCAAATGGAAACCCACTCATGTCAAAGAGGTCCTTCCTGGGGCTGCTCTCTGCACTGCTCCCTGCAGTCGAACCAGTCTGCAGAGGGAAGTGCTGGGTATTCACATAGGTGGGGGCTTCTCCCGTAGAGGCCACATGCGCTTTTCCTTCTGGCATGCTATAGGTGTCCATGGATCCTGCAACAAAAAAAATGAGCTCTTTCTCTTGTTGATGGTAATGCTGTTGATGTCCTTATAGTTAGCCGCCCAGTCTTACAGAGAAGGTCCTTCAGATTAACCCTAAGAAAATTCTTCTTGCAACTCTTCATAACTTAAATCTCCCCTTCTGAGCTCATTACATGCACTGTTGTCTTCTGGCTAGGACATGTTCTATACCTTCATGTCAAAATGGGAGCTGTGAGCCTATGACAGTGGATTCCCACAATGGTAAGTGCCTTACCAAGACTCTGCCTTGTGCTAGGCAGGTGAAGGGAGCAGGCCATACCTTGGTCTACCCATCCCCTTTACAAAGACCCCAGATCAAACAACTGAACTGAAGAGTGACAAGTCTAATTTTAATCACCCTTTTTCTTTTTATGTGTAAGTGAATGCTTTGTAAGTTAACTTCATTCTAGTATTACAGTGCAGGCGCTTCGACCCCAATTTAGAAGATTACTACCTATTGAACTGAGATACCTTTCATACAAAACATAGCCAGGCTTGCAGCCCCTGACTCCATGCAAGGGATCCAGCCGGCATGGGCGTGATTGAGCCCTCCCAGCAAGGCAGGACCTCTATGGTACTTCCTAGCTAGACCCAGACTATATCCAAACTAGGCCAGCAGGCCCTGCTATTGTTGCCAGAGGAGAATGAAGGGTATTTCCCAAGCATGCCTGCTTGGGTCACTATCTAATCCTTTCTACAGGATCCCTGTCTCTAACACATACATATTCTCAAGATGGCCTTTTGGTATTCACATCTCCAGAGAAGGCCACCTTTCACTCCCTATGGGCAGTAGATGTTGAAGCTGGCTCAATCCAGCTGGGAGGAGTCAGCTCAGACTTTTTAAGAAGCTTTCCACAGAGCCTATTATTGGACTTTTGACAGCACATCTCTGTCTGCTTGTACATGTGAGAATGCCAGTATTTAGCTAAAATTCCTTCAGGTTGAGAATCTCTAGCAAAGTCATGAATTGTCTCTACTCTTATTCCTGTACATGAACTCTAGGTTTCACATGCTGTTCCTGGGTTACATGTCTTGGTTTAGCAGTGGCTAGCTGCAGTTCACACATGTGTATGCATTGCAAACAAATCAGTCTGTAAAAAGAATTTTACAAACTGAATTTTTAAAAGAGAAGATGAAAAGCCCAATGAATACCTTTCCTAAGGACAACCCTATCCCACTCACACAATGGCAGATGCAGAGCCAGGACAGCCAGACACATGTACCATGGCAGCCTCAAGAGTTCATTTTATCTAGGGGGAATAGCTGCTTGCAAAGTAATGAGGAATATTCTTATTTGTTCAATGGAAAAAGATATGTATTATTTTCAAAAGAGAACTTGGAATTTTTTAAGAGTAATGAGTCTCAAGAACTTATGTAAGGCTCTTTTTTGCCCTGATGAATCTCTTATACTATCTGTCCTTGGTCTTGGCCAGAGTACCTAATACACAAAAAGACACCTCATTTTTAAATAAACCTAACTTATTTTTCAATAAAGTAAATATATAATATAAATAATGTCTCCTTATATGTGTAAGTATGTATATATTATATAGACACATTTTAAATGTCTATGGAACAAAAGTAAAAACATAGCAAAAAATGTCTTTGACAAAATTATGACTTTTATTTGCTCTTTCCATCATACTCTGATGTAGAGCCATGTGGTAGCTTCTGCCAGACATTATGTTCAATTGACCAAGCAAGCACAAATAGGTTATCTTTTGGCTGGGGGCAGGAAACATGTGAAATTATCTCACAAGGAGGGAATTTTTAAAATTTATTGTCATTACAGAATGATAAATGGATCAATTTAACAAGAGTATATAACCCTTGTAAACATTGATGCGCCCAACACAGGAACACCTAAAAATATAAAACAAATCTTGATGAATCTAGAAGAAGAAATCAACCATAATACAGGCATAGTAGGGGACTTTAACACCTCACTGACATCAATGGATAGATTTTCCAGGCAGAAAATCAGCAAGGAAAATCAGCCTGAAATGACATATTAATGCAGATGGATTTAAATTATATTTTTAGAGAATTTCACCCCATTCTCCTCAAGTTCAAATGAAACATTTCCCAGGACAGATCACATGTTAGACCAAAAAACAAATTCTCAAAAAATTTAAGAAGATTGAAATCCTATCAAGCACCTTCTCTGATCACAATAGTATGAAACTAGAAATCAATAAAAAGAAAAAAATGAAAAGCACACAAACACACAGAGGCTACATAATATGTTAGTAAACAATGAATGAGTTGACAATGAGATCAGGAGAAGACCAAAAGATACCTGAAGACAAATAAAAATGAAAATACAATGACCCAAAATCTATGGGATGCAAAAAAAGAAGTCTTAAGAAGGAAACTCATACCAATACAGGCCTAAACCAAGAAACAAGAAAAATATCAAATAAACAGAATCTAATCTTACACCTAAAGGAACTAGAAGAACAACAACAAACAAAGCCCAAAGTGAGTTAAAAAGAAGGGAAAAAATAAAGATCAGATTGGAAATAAACAAAATAGGGTCTAAAAAACAATACAAAAGGTCATTGAAACCAAGAGCTGGTTCTTTGAAAAGATAAACAAGATTGATAAACATTTAATCAGACTCATAAAAAGAGAGGACCCAAATAAATAAAATCAGAAATGAAAAAGGAGGAGTGTCAACAGACAACACAGAAATACAAATGATTATAAGAAAACATTATGAATGATTATATGCCAGAAAATTGGACAATCTGGAAGAAATGGATCAATTCCTGAAAACATGCAATTTTCTCAGACCAAATCGAGAAAAAACAGAAAATTTTGAACAGATTGATTACTACCAACAAAATGACATCAGTAATCAAAAAACTCCTAACACACAAAAGCCCTGGACTGATGGTTCACAGGTGAATTTTACCAAACACTCAAAGAAGAATTAGCACCTAATCTTATCGAATTATTCCAAAAAATTCAAGAGGAGGAAAAAATCCCAAGTTCATTCTATGAGACCATCATTATCCTGATTCTAAAACCAGACAAAGACATTATAAAAGAAGAAAATTATGGGCTATATCCCTAAAGAACATAGGCACAAAAATCTTCAACAAAGATGGTGGCATAGGCAGACATGGCTTTCCTCTTCACACAACAACAACAAAATTACAACTAAGATATAGAACAACCATCTCTCAGAACCTACAGAAATCAAGTTAAATGGAAGCCTGACAACTATGGGATTAAAGAAATCACATCCATCCACATTGAGCTGGCAGACTGATGCCATATCTAAGATTCCATCAACCTCACTAACACAATTTGACCTGCCTCGGTGATCCCCAGAGACTCCACCCCCCATTCAACTTACAGGCCCACCCAAGCTGCTTTTCCTTATGAATGGTCTTGACTCACGCTTTACAACTTCTTAAATCCTCTCAAATAAGCAGCAGCTGGCCGGAGTGAGCCATATGCCCAGAACTAGCAGCCTAGATTCACAGCATGGCTTCACCTGGAAATCTCCAGGCCCAGCACAAGGAGCAGCCATCTCAGATTGCTTTATAACTAAGGCAGGGTAGCCCCCAGCAAAACACAGGTCAGGGCTGATCTTGGCATGCACCACCTGGGAAATCCCAGCAGCCAGCATACCCAGTGGAACAGTTACAGACCATGTGGGAGTACTACCACCCTCCCCCTGCACAGCTAATTCTCCACATAGGGCAGAAGTTGGTGATAAGTGGTCACAGTCAATCCTTGCAGCTAACTGTCCTGGGTAAATCCCTCCCATTGATCTGCCAACAGCAACCAAGACTCAACTACAAGAGGAGGGTGTACTCAGCCCACACAAAGGGTGCACCTCAACTACCCAGCTTCGGTGATAGTGGAGGTTGTACCACTGCACCCTAGAGGATACTTACTACATTAGTCCACACTACCAAGACACAGAGTCAAAGCAGCTCTACCTAATACATAGAAACAAACACAGAGAGGTTGCCAAAATGAGGAGACAAAGAAACATGGCCCAAATGAAAGAACAGATCAAAACTCCAGAAAAAGAGCTAAAGGAAATGAAGATAAGCAATCTATCAGATGCAGAGTTCAAAACACTGGTTATAAGGATGTTCATGGACCTTAGTGAGGACCGCAGCAGAATAAAAAAGACCCAGTTAGAAACTAAGGATACACTAATTGAAATAAAGGACAATTTACAGGAAACAACAGAAGAAGAGATGAAGCCCAGAATCAATCAATGATTTGGAACATAAGGAAGCAAAAAACAACCAATCAGAACAAGAAGAAAAAAAAAGAGAGAGAGAATCCAAAACTCAAGGACAGTGTAAGCAGGCTTTGGGACAGCTTTAAGCAATCCAAAATTCCCTTCATAGGGGTTCCAGAAGGAGGAGACAAAGAGCAAGAAATTGGAAATCTATTTGAAAAAATAATAAAAGAAAACTTACCTAATTTGGGGAAGGAAATAGACATGCAGGTCCAGGAAGCACAGAGAGTCCCAAACAAGATGGATGCAAAGAGGCCCACACCAAGACACATCACAATTAAAATGCCAAAGGTTAAAGATAAAGAAATGGGAGGGTGGGCATGGGAGAATGGGTGATAGGTGAGGGGATTAAAAAGTACAAATAGGTTTTTACAGAATAACCATGGGAATGTAAAGTACAGTAAAGAAAGGGAGTAGCCAAAGAACTTACACATGACCGTGGACATGACCAAGCGCGGGGGTATTGCCTGAAGGAGTGGGAGATGCTGGGTGGAGGGGGGCAAAGGGAGAGAAATCAGCACAACCATAATAGCATAATCAATAAAATATAGTTTTAAAAGATCTTCAAAAAAATATTAGCAAACTGAATTCAGCAATACATAAAAAAGATCAAGTGGGCTTTATTCCTGGGATGCAATGTTTGGTTCAATCAATATGCACAAATTAATTAAAGTAATACACCACATAAATGAAATGAAGAATGAAAATCATATGATCATATCCATACATGCAGTAAAAGCATTTAACAAAATCCAGCACCCATTATGACAAAAACTCTCAGCAAAGTAGGAATAGAGGGAACATAACTCAATATAATAAAGGCCACATATGACAAACCCACAGCTAACATCATGCTCAACAAAGAAAAGCTAAAATTGTCTTCCTTAAGGTCAGGAAAAGAGAGGTTTGTCTACTTTCACCAGTTTTATTTAACATAGTATTATAAGTCCTAGCCACAGCAATCAGACAAGAAAAAAATTAAAGGCATCCAAATTGGAAAGGGAGAAGTAAAACTGTCATTATTCTCAGAGGATATGTTACGACCTATAGAGAACCCTAAAGATTCCACCAAAAAGTGATTAGAACTGATAAGTAAATACAGTAAAGTAGTAGGATACAAAATTAATATTCAGAAATCAGTTGTGTTTTTATATACCAATAATGAACTATCAGAAAAAGAAACTAAGAAAACAATCGCATTTTATAACTGCAGCAAAAAATGCCAGAAAAACATTTAACCAAGGAGATAAAAACCTGTAGTTGAAAATCACAACACACTGAAAAAAACTGAATAAGATACAAATAAATGGAAGCATGTACCATGCTCATGGATTGAAAAAAATAACATTTTAACAATGTCCATACTACCCAAAGCAATCTATAGATTCAGTGCAATCCCTATCAAAATAGCAATGGCAAAAAAAAAACAAAAACCCAATGGCATTTTTCACAGAAGCATAATCAAAATCCTAAAACTTAAATGTAACCACAAAAGACCCCAATACCCACAGCAAGCTTGAGAAAGAACAAAGTTAGGGGTATCATGCTAACTAATATGAAAATATACTATAAGGCGATAGTAATCAAAATAGCATGATACTTGCATAAAAACAGGCATGTAGATCAATGAAACAAAATAGAAAGCCCAGAAATAAACCCACAACTGTAGGATCCATAAATATATGACAAAGAAGGAAAGAAGGTACAATGAGTTAAAGACAGTCTATGCAATAAATCCATACATTATGGATTTATTTATGGGAAAATTGGACAGATACATGCAAAAAAGTGAAACCAAACCACAAGACCACCTTCTTACACCATATATGAGAATAAACTAAAAATGAATAAAGATAAAAATGTAAGACTCAAACAATAGAACTCCTAAAAGAAAACATAGGCAGTAAACTCTCTGGTATTTCTCTTAGTAATGTATTTTCTGATATATTTCCTCAGACATGGGAAAAAAAAAAAGGAAAAAATGGGACAAATTCTTGCACAGCGAAAGAATCCATGAACAAAATGAAAAGGCAGCCTATTGAATAGGAGAAGATATTTGTCAAGGATACATCTGTTAAGGGGTTAATAGCCAATATTTATAAAGAACTCATGCAACTCAACACCAAAAACACAAAAAGTACAATTGAAAATGGGCAGAGGAACCAGGTCAAGTAGCTCAGTTGGTTAGAGCATCATCCCAATATGCCACGCTTATGGATTTGATCCGTGGTCAAGGTACACACAAGAATCAACCAATGAATGTGTGGATAGATGGAACAACAAATTGATCTTGATCGATCTATCTCTCTCCCTCTCTCTTTCTTTCTTCTTTCTTTCTCCCTTCCTCTATCTCTCAAATCAATAACTTTTTAAAAGTTTTTTAAACCACCTTCAAAAAAATGGGCATCTAGGTACTTCTCCAAAGAGGACATACAGATGGCCAATAGACATCTGAAAAAATATTAAACATCACTAATCATCAGAGAAATTAAAACCACAATAAAATATCACTTCATACCTGTCAGAAGGACAGTCTGGAGATATCATCAATAATCAAGAAACAAGAATGGTGAGGATATGGAGAAAGGGGAACAATCGTGCACTATTGGTGGGATTGCAAACTGGTGCAGCCACTAAAGAAAACAGTATGGAGGTTCTTCAAAAATCAAAAACAAAACTATCTTATAACACAGCAATTCAATTTCTGGATATTTATCAAAAGAAATCCAAAACACTAAGTCAAAAATATATATATGCACAGCTATGTTGATTGCAGCATAACTTACAATAGCCAATATATGAAAGCAACTCAAGTGCCCGTCAATAGACGAATGGATAAAAAAAAGTTTGTGGGAGGCTTCAAGATGGCAGAGGAGTGAGTAGAAGTCACACTGACCTCCTTCTAGGACCAACCTGGAATTACAACTAAACTGTGGAGAAATCACTTGGAAAACAATGGAACAATAGTGAGAGAGAAGCCTTAAAACCTCAGACAGACAGAAGAATTGGCTTTAGCACAACCTAACTGGTAAGGAGTGTGATAGAGGCTCGAGAAGGTGAGCAAGGTGCCCACAGATGGCAGTGCCAGAGGGATATTGAATTGGCCAGTTGGATCCCTTTGAGATGAGTAGGGTCTAAACCATAGACAGGATCTCCAGCCTATAGCACCAGAGCCCAAAAAAAGCACACAGATGATAGCCAGCTGCAAAAAAGTGTAGAGGTGGTCTCTGCCAGAGAAAGGTGTCTGGAGACACAAAGAGCCATTTAAATGTAAAAATTTGAAGTGGCAGCTGCTTACCCTGGACTCTGCCAAAGGTGGGGGCAGAGTGGACTGGACTCTGCTGAGGAGAGACTTAGGAAGGAGGCTGTGGAGAAAGAATTGAGAAAGTGACTGGAGGGGTCCTGGTGCTGACTCACTCCCCATTCCACAGCTGCCATCTTGCTCAGGCAAACCATTCCCATGAGTGGCAGCAGTCTGAAAGGACAGGAAAGCCACACCCCCAGGAGGCTCTGCCCTTTCCTGATGTAGCACTGGCCGGGGTGCTGGGTACATAGCAGCAGTCACAAGTAGTAGCTCCTAGGCTAAAGGGGAGGCAGAATGGTCTAGAGATGTTTGAGGACAGTCTGGAGATGCAGGTGGGGAGAGAACTGAGGGAGTAACTGGAGAGATCCTCGAGTCACTCCTCCCCCATACAGCAGCAGAAATCTTGCTCAGGCAGACTACTCCCGAGTGGCAGGAATGTGAAAGGATGCAATAAACCTGTCCCCAGGACAGACTCTGCACTGCCCTGCAGTGCCTAAGCCTGACTGCTGAGAACAGAGTCACTAGATTAACAACTGGAGGAGACAGAAACACAACAGACTCCTGGAAATATCTTAAAGACTGCCTAAGGACAAACGAGATCAATAGCTGATCCAGAAAGAAGAGAAAGAAAAAAAAGTGTTCTCCTACCATAGAATTTCACATCACAAAGTCAGGAAATCAAGACAGATCAATTTAAGAAGCAGAAGCAAAAAAGAAGAGTCTCACAAATAATGGGAAGAAAAAGAAACACCCCCCAATTGAAAGGAAAGGAGGAATCCCCAGAGAGACAACTAAACGAAATAGAGGTAAGTAATCTATCAGATATTGAATTCAAAACCATGGTTCTGAGGAAGCTCAGTGAGCTCAAAGAGAATTATCAAAAACGACAGGGAAACTATGAGGAACTTACTGCAAACTGTATCAGCATGAAAAAAGTCATATAAACTACCAATGAGAGAAAAGAGGAAATGAAGAATACAATTTCTGAATTGAATAACATAGTAGGAAGTAAAAGCAGGGTAGATGAAGCAGAGTATCGAATCACTGGGCCGGAGGATAAGACAGAAAAAAGCTCCCAGGAAGAGCAAGAAAATGAGAAAGACTCAAAAAGAATGAAGAGACATTGATGGAAGTGCTGGGCAACCTGAAATGTAATAATATCATCTAACAGCGATACCAGATGAGAAGAAGAGGAGCAAGGGATAGAGAACCTGTTTGAAAAAGTAACAATGGAAAACTTCCGTAACATGATGAGAGAAAAAGTCACACAAATCCAGGAAGCACAATCCAGGTCCCATTCAAGAGGAACCCAATGAGGCCCACTCCAAGACACATCATCATTAAAATGGCAAATATCAAAGACAAACAGAGAATCCTAAAGGCAGCAAGGGAGAAAGAGGTAGTAACATACAAGGGAGTCGCAGAACGGCTAGCAGCTTACTTCTCAACAGAAACACTACAAGCCAGAAGGGAATGGCAAGAAATATTCCAAGTCATGAAAAGCAAAGGCCTGCAACCAAGACTGCTCTACCCAGTAAGACTCTCAGTTAAAACGGAAGGCAAAATTAGGAGTTTCCCAGACAAAAGAACGCTAAAAGAATACACCTCCACCAAATCAGCACTGCAAGAAATGCTAAAGGGACTGCTTTAAGAAGATGAAGAGCAGCTTGGGCCCGGCATAATGGTTCCCGCAAAGAAGGGTGGTGAGAAGAAGAAGGGCCGTTCTGCCATCAATGAGGTAGTGACCAGAGAGTACACCATCAACATCCATAAGCACATCCATGGAGTGGGCTTCAAGAAGCGTGCCCCTCGGGCACTCAAAGAGATCCGGAAATTTGCCATGAAGGAGATGGGAACTCCAGATGTGCTCATTGACACCAGGCTCAACAAAGCTGTCTGGGCCAAAGGAATAAGGAATGTCCCATACCATATCCAGGTGCGGTTGTCCAGAAAACGAAATGAGGATGAAGATTCACCAGACAAGCTCTATACATTGGTCACCTATGTACCTGTCACCACTTTCAAAAATCTACAAACAGTTAATGTGGATGAGAACTAACTGCTGATTGTCAAATAAAAGTTATAAAGCTGCATTTGAGGTTTGGTTTCCTGTTTCTAGTGGCAATGTAATGTGTTGGTATATCTTAAAGTACTTGCCAATTAAAGAATCATTTGGAAAGCTTAAAAAAAAAAGAAGATGAAGAAAAAGATTGAGAAAGAGAGAAACACAGATACAAAGGGAAAATATGAATAAATACCTATCAATAATAAGTTCAAATGCAAATGGATTAAATACCCCAATCAAAAGATATAGGATAGCTGAATGATAAAAACACATGACTCACATATATACGGCCTTTAAGAGACTCACTTCAGAACAAAGACCTACACAGACTGAAAGTAAAGGGATGGAAAAAATATTCCAAGTAAATGGACAAGAAAAAGGAGGGGTAGCAACACTTATATAAAACAAAATAGATTTCAAAACAAAGGACATAAAAAGAGACCCAGAAGGATACTTCATAATACTCAAAGGGATGTCTATCAAGAAGACATAAACATTGTAAATCTATATGCACCCAACATAGGAGCACCCAAATACATAAGGAAAATCTTAGAGGACTTCAAGAAAGATATAGATATCAACATGCTGATAATAGGGGATTTTAACACCCCACTGTCAAAAATGGATAGATCTTCAAAACAAAACATCAACAAGGATACTGTGGAACCGAACAGTGCATTAGATCTAATTGACTTAACTGACATATATAGAACCTTTCATTAAAAAGGAAAATACACATGCTTTTCGAATGCACACAGAACATTTTCAAAGATAGACCACATGATAGGACACAAAACAAGCCTCAACAAATTAAGGAAAATCAAAATCATAACAAACATTTTCTCGGACCACAAAGGCTTGAAACTAGAAACCAATCTCAAGGAAAAAACTCAAAAACATTCAAACTCATGGAGACTGAATAGCACAATATTAAACAATGAATGGGTCAATAATTATATCAAAGAAGAAATCAAAAAGTTTCTGGAAACAAATGAAAATGAACATACAACAGTCCAACACCCATGGGACACATCGAAGGCAGTAGAGGGAAGTTCAAAACAACACAGGCCTACCTAAAAAAAGATAGCAACATTTCAAATAAATGACCTAACCCTACACCTTCAACAAAGGAGAAACAACAACAAACAAAGTCCAGAACAAGTAGAAGGAAAGAAATAATCAAGATCAGAGCAGAATTGAATGACATAGAGACTAAAAGAACCCTTCAAAGGATCAACCAATCCAGGAGCTGGTTCTTTGAAAGGATAAACAAATTCAAAAAGCTGTTAAGCAGACTCATCAAGAAAAAAAGGGAGAGGGCCCAAAGAAATAATATCAGAAATGAAAGAGGAGAAATAGCAACTGATACCACAGAAATACAAAGGATTGTAAGAAATTATTATGAACAATTATATGTCAAGAAATTTGAAAATCTCTATGAAATGGACAAATTTCTAGAAAAGTATAATCTTCTGATCCAGATTGAGGAAGAAGCAGAAAACCTGAAAAAACCAATAACAGCTGGGGAAATGGAAGCAGTAATCAAAAAACTCCCAGCACACAAAAGCCCTGGACTGGATGGTTTCACAGGAGAATTTTAAAAAACATTTAAGGAAGATCTAACCCCAATCCTTCTCAGACTATTGCAAAAAATCCAAGAAGAGAGAAGACTCCTAGACTCTTTTTATGATGATAGCATCATCCTAATCAAAAAATCAGATAAAGATACAATAAATAAAAAAAACTACAGGCCAATATCGCTGATGAACATAGACGCTAAAATCCTCAACTAAATATTCACAAGCCTCATACAGCAATTTATTAAAAAGATCATACACCATGATCAAGTGTGATTTATCCCAGGGATGCAAGGATGGTTCAATATTTGCAAATCAATAAACATAATACATCACATAAACAAAAGGAAAGACAAACACCACATGATCATCTCAATAGATGTGGAAGAATCATTTGATAAGGTACAGCACCTATTTATGATAAAAACGTTCAGCAAAATGGGAATAAGAGGGGCATACCTCAACATAATAAAGGCCACATATGAAAAACCTACAGACAACAGCATACTCAACAGGAGAAAACTAAAACCTTCCTCACTAAGATTGGGAACAAGACAAGGATGTCCGCTTTTACCACTTATATTCAACATAGTATTGGAAGTCCTAGCCACAGTGATCAGACAAAAGAAAAAGAAATAAAAGTCATCCAAATTGGAAAGGATGAAGTAAAACTATCATTGTTTGCAGATGACATGATAGGGTACATAGATAACCCCAAAGGCTCCATCGAAAAACTACTCAACCTAATAAGTGAATTTGGCAAAACAGCAGGACACAAAATCAATATTCAGAAATCGAAGGCATTTTTGTACACCAACAATGAAATAGAAGAAGCAGAAATCAGGGGAAAAATCCCATTTGCTATAGCAACAAGAAAAATAAAGTACCTAGGAATAAACTTAACCAAGGAGGTAAAAGACATGTATGCAGAAAACTATACAACACTGAAGAAAGAAATTAAGGAAGACACAAATAAATAGAAGCATATACTGTGTTCATGGATTGGAAGAATTAATATCATCAAAATGTCCATACTACCCAAGGCAATTTATAGATTCAATGCAATCCCTATTAAAATACCAATGACGTATTTCACATAGAACAAACATTTAAAAACTTTATATGGAACCATAAACGACCTGAATAGCCGCAGCAATTTTAAGAAAGAAAAACAAAGGAGGAGGGATCACAATACCTGACATCAAACTATATTTCAAGGCCACTGTAATCAAAACAGTCTGGTACTGGCACAAGAACAGACACATAGATCAATGGAACAGAATAGAGAGCCCATAAATAAACTCATGGTCAATTAATATTTGACAAAGGGGGCAGAGGCATAAAATGGACTAAAAATAGCCTCTTCAACAAATGGTGTTGGAAGAGCTGGACAGCTACATGCAAAAAATTGAAATTCAACCTCCAACTGACACTATACACAAAAACAAACTTGAGATGGATAAAAGACTTAAATATAAGTCACAGCACCATAAAAGTCCTAGAGGAAAACATAGGCAGAAAACTCAGATTTCCCACGCAGCAATATTTTCACTGATACGTCCCCTAGAGCAAGGGACATAAAGGAAAGACTAGACAAATGGGACTTTATCAAAATAAGAAGCTTCTACAAAGCTAAAGGAAAGATCAGCAAAATTAAAAAGGAACCAACCATATAGGAAAATATACTTGCCAGTGATACCTCAGACAGGGGTTTGATCTTCCAAATACATAAAGGACTCACATGACTCCACTCCAGGAAGACAAACAATCCAATTAAAAAATGGGCAAAAGACCTGGGCAGATACTTCTTCATGGAGGACATATACAGGGCTCAGAGGCATATGAAAGAATGGTCAACATCACTAGCCATCAGAGAAATACAAATTTAAACCACAATGAGATACCACTTCACACCAGTCAGAATGGCCATCATACAGATCAAGAAACAACGGGTGCTGGCGAGGCTGTGGAGAAAAGGGAACCCTAGTGCACTGTTGGTAGGAATGCAGACTGGTACAGCCACTGTGAAAAACACTTTGGAATTTCCTCAAAAAGCTAAACATGGAACTGCCTTTTGACCCAGTGAGTCCACTGATGGGATTATACCCTATGAATCCCGAAACACCAGTTCAAAAGAACCTATGAACCCCCATGTTCATAGCAGCACAATTTACAATAGCCAAGGGCTGGAAGCAACCTAAGTGCCCATCTGTAAATGAGTGGATCCCAAAACAATGGCACATTTACACAATGGAATACTACACAGCAGAAAGAAAGAAAGAGCTACTACCCTTAATGACAGCATGGATGGAACTGAAGAGCATTATGTTAAGCGAAATAAGCCAGGTGGTGAATGACAAATACCGTATGATCTCACCTATAAGTGGAACCTAACCAACAAAACAAACAAGGAAAAAAAATATAATCAGTAACATTGAAAGAATAAAGAAACCAACAGAAATGAGAGTAGGAGGGATGGGGGTAATGGGGAAAAGAAGGGGAAGGGTCAAATCAAGGAACATGTATGGAGGACACATGGATGCAGCCAAGGTGGGGAGGGATTGATTGAGGGAGGTGGGGGTGGGAAGGGTAGGGGAGACTGGTGGTGAGGAAATGGAGACAAATGTATTTGAACAATAAAAATAAATACAAATTTTAAAAATTAAAAAAGAAAAAGTTTGTTTGCCAGAGGAGATGGGAGTTGGGGGGCTTGAGTGAAAGAGGCAAAAGGATTAAGAAGAACAAATTGGTGCAAAATGGTCAAAAGGATGTTAAATACACCATAGAAAATATAACCAATAATATAATAATAATATTGTATCAAGGGGATGACTTCATAAATTATATAACTGTCTAACCACTATTCTGTACACCTGAAACTAATATAAAATAATACTAAAAAAATAAAATATATATAATAAAAATAATAAAATATAAAATAAAATGTCAACTATAACTAAAAATATAATAAAAAAAAACTTATTGTCATTTACTCCTGGCCCAAATTGCTACAATAAGGGAAAAGCTTTAACATTTTATCAATAAATGGTTAAATTTATATACATAGAAGCATAAATTGGATCTTAATTCATGTGTCATTCCATCTCCTTCAGATCCTATAGCATTAATAGCCAGAGACCCCAAGCTATTGAAGGAGTTATGGAAGTGTTTGAGGAAGGAAAAAGTTTAAAATTAAAAAAATGATTTAAAATACATAAAATACATATATACACAAACATGTGTATTTACAACTGTCTAAGGATCAAAACTTATTTTAGCATTAGTTATTGGTTATATATGAATGATTTTTAATATGCGTGTAGGTGCATTCTCATTGACTTGATAAGATGTGGACATGTCCTCTAAATATACCCAGGGCCCATGAAGGATGTATCCCTGACGCCATCTCTGCTTATGGTTGGTATCACTCTGCTCCTCCTGAAGTTGACCCTGGAGAGGAAGCGATGGGGGAGACCAGGAAGGGAAAGCTACTACTAGCTCCTGTGAAAAACCACTGGGGCTCAGCTCTGCTAGGGAACTTCGGAACAGCCTGAATCGCACTTCATAGTCTTTCAACAAACTCCCAGTTGAAATGGGTGGAGGTGCCATTGGAGAGATCAGTTCCTCAGGCCTCGTGCCAGAAGACACTCTCCAGGGTACTGGAGGACAGTAAGTGCTGAAGGACATGAACTGGTCCTGGTGCCAGGGGGGCATCAGTCAATGTGTGGCATCCTAATAGAACTTACTTTATATATTTCTATGATGTGGTTGGGAATCTGAAGTCCCATTCTCAGTAGATTTTTCCAGTGGGTTTTTCTGCCAATTCCTCAGTAGGCGAACCACACTGGGGAGACATTATTTTTGTTTGGGGTATTTTTTGACACAAATGTTCAAACCAACTTTATCTGTAATGCCCACAAATTGGAAATAAATATCAATCAGCATGTAAACACAGCATAGGATGCTCACACATTGAAACACTAGTCATCAGTTAAAAGAAAAAAAAAACTATTGATACATGGAGCAACAGAGTGAATCTAAAGATAATTTCACTGAGCGAAAAGAAGTCAAATAAAAAGGAATGTAATCATGTATAATTATATGTATATAAAATTCTAGAAAATGCAAACTAATCTATATAAGGATATAAAGTAAATCAGTGTTCTCTAAAAGACGGAGGAGAGGCAAGAAGGACCGGAAAACAGCACATGACTTTTGTATTTTTTATGTTTTTCACCCTCATTACCTTGTCTCTCACCTTGCCTGACAGGTGTTTGCTGCCAGTCTTCACCGAATGGGTCTCTTAAGTGTCTTCCCTGGTAATAGGTTTGTTCTTTTCCTGAAAACTGTAGACACAAAGAGAAAAAATTTTGCTCTTCTTGTTTGCCCATTTCCAAAAGCCATAGTACAGTAGAAGAGACATCAGTCAGGGGTCAGGTGATCGCATCTCTGATTACATGCTGTTTTCCCTCCATGCCTCACAACTGCCATTGAGATTTGGGAAATAAGTTTGTATAGGTGTGAGGCAGAGACTGCATCTCAAAAAAACCACACATCTCCCCCTTATTTTCATTCTTCCAACATCCCCGCAAGTGTGAGCATGAATTGAGCTCTTCTGTCCATATTCCATCACTCAACATGCCCTAAAATAAATTTCAGTTAGAGGGTCTATGTGTCAGAACACACTGTCTATCCAACGCACTTAGGCAAGTCCACCCAGTCTATTCCCTCTCAGTGTCCGAGCTACCAACAATTCATTTCAATGTTATTTTGACACTATTATTAGTGTCATTATTATTCACATAAGGTAAATAACATTAAACTCATTATTACAAAATACAGATATCACAATTCTAGAAAACAATTACCTCATTAGAATTTTGAGTTTGAGGGAAAATGGTTAAAATCTTAAAACCTCATTAAATTCTGCCCATTTTAAAGGTGTATGTCCACTCTCTTTTCAGAGAACCCAAAGTACTCAGGCTTTTTAAAAAGTCTTGAACCTTATCTTCTCCTCATTAAGATTGCACTATAATGAAATTTGTCCTAAGATGGAAAAGTAACCCCCAGACTACTACCTCAATCATCAAAATATACTTCAAAGGTATTTGACTAACATCTTGTCATGTTAAAACAGAAGCTTCCCTTATTTGTCTGCTTTGTGAAATCCAAGAGGGAAAAGTCTGTGAGTTATTCTGTTAACTGGACAGAACACCAACCTGAATATAAAGTTGAGAAAAATGAAAGGAAATAAAGTTCAGTTATCAAGCATCAAAAGGAAAAGTTATAAAAATCACCTGGGCTATGTCAGAGGCATTGGGTCTCACTTTCAGTCTAGCATCAACAAACCCTCCTGGAGGAGGTGTCTTGTTTGGGATGCTGTTATAGTATGGATGATCAGAGCCATCTCCCTTCTCTTCAGCCCATGGCTCATCCAGGCTCTGCATTCTGTTAAAAGAGAATTTTCAAGAGCTTTAGCCAAATTTTGAGCTTGTGGTTAAAACCAACTAATCTAATGTTAATACCTGTCACCCCAGGAAAGTAAGTTTAGCCACTGCCCCTTCAGTCATGTAGGTCTCAGTCATATATGAAAAACACATGGTGGTTTAGACAAATATCTCTGCCTTATTCACAGTTCTACCCTTTGGAAAAGAGCAGTCATATCTGAAACAAAAAAAAAAAGTCCTTTTTAAAAGTACATTTTATTTAAGAAAGAAAAATTTATAAAGATAACCAGATCCTGAAGGCACAGACACACATTTTAGTAAATTGTGAAATTTGTCCAAAACAAAACAACTAAAAAATGAAGATTTAGTGACATCAGGGAAAATGGCAGAATAAGGACCTCTGAAAATTTTTTCTTTCATGAAAGCAACAATAAAAGTGGTAAAAAAAAAAAAAAAAAAAAAAAACAATCAGGATCAACTATTTAAAACCCTGGGAAATAACCAGAAGCTTACAACAGCCTAGGGAATTTTTTTCGTTTGAGTAAACAAAAAAAGCTTTAAGAACAGCGGCTTTGTGGTATTTTAACTTGCCCTATTCCCATCTCCATGGTAGTTTTGAAAACAAACAGCCCACAGTCACAGTAAAAACCAGTAGCCTGATAGCCATGGGAGAGGGCAAAACAGCTCTGAGTCTCCTTCACAGCCTCATTCCCAGAGAGTAGTTGTTATACTAACTGTCTAGTCATTCCCTAGAAGTGGTAACTCCTAAGACTGCTTTTATTTGACATAATTCAGGGAAAAATATCTCCTCCCCTGGGACATTTGTCAAAAATGGGGGAAAAGAGTAGGCTATTCAAAAGCTTAGAAGGAGTCCTGGCTGGTATGGCTCAGTGGATTGAGTGCCAGCATGCAAACCAAAGGGTTACGGGTTCGATTCCCAGTCAGGACACATGACTGTGTTGCGGGAGAGGTCCCCAGTAAAGGGCGTGTGAGAGGCAACCACACATTGATGTTCCTCTCCCTCTCTTTCTCCCTCCCTTCCCCTCTGTCTAAAAATAAATAAAATCTTTAAAAAGTTTAAAGCTAGAAAGTGGGATGTGTTCAGAGGGATTTTGACAAACTTCAACGTATTTCCAGGAATCTAGAAGGCCACATGTATTCATAGGGATCTGTTCATGTTCAAGGATGTATGCCTTCTCAGAAAAGATGTAAAAAGGCCCTAGTTTCACCACTGGCTTAGCCTGAAGATATGCACAAGCAGGAAGTGAAAGCTAAGGCGGAATTGCCAACTGCCTGGCTGAGTATTGAAGGGGTTCACCACACACAAACAGAACCCCTCAGCAAAGACTAGGAAACTTACCAGTTCCAGGAATTTAAGGAAATTTCTTTCCAATTATTGGCTTTCCACTAATTAAAATGAATGGAGTTATCAGTGGCCATATTTGACAAAGAATACAGACTTTATGGATTTAGTTTAGAAAAGTTACTAAACTACCACAAAAACCAGCAACAACAAATCCTGAAAAGGGGAGAAATCTGATTTCCAGGGTTGCCACATTATATTATTTAAAATCTCTAGTTTCAACAAAAAATAAAAATTATGAGACATGTAAAAAAAAAAAAACACAAGAAAAAAAAGGTAATCAACAGAAACTATCCCTGGGAAACTCAGATTTTAAACAAAGGATCCTCAATAATATTAAAAGTTGGCTACTTATCAGAAACAATGAAGGCAAGAAAGTAGTATGATGACATAGTCAAGTACTAAAAGAAAAGGACAGTATACCAAGCATTCTATATCCAAAAAAACTATCCTTCCAAAATGAAACAGAAATAAGACATTTCCAGATGAATAAAAATGGAAGAAAATTATCACTAGTAAATCTTTCCTACAATTAATGTTAAAGAAAGTACTTTAGGCTGAAATGGAAGAACACTAGATGGTAATACATATCAACATGAAGAAATAGAGAACACAGATACAAAATTAAATTTCCACAAATGTCTTCAAACTATTTTTTATAATTCTTTTTTTAAAGATTTTTATTTATTATTTTTAGAGAGGAAATGAGAGAGCGAAAGAGAAGAAGAGAAATCAGTGTGTGATTGCCTTTCATGCACCCCCTACTGGGGACTTGGCCCGCAACCCAGGCATGTGCCCTAGACTGGGAATCGAACCTGAAGTCTTTTGGTTCACAGGCCAGCACTCAATCCACTGAGCCACACCAGCCAGGGCTTCAAACTCTTTTATATAGAAACACACAGGACTTCATGTCTTAAGTATATTCCCAGAGAAGCTTGGTCATTCAGTTAACTCTAGCTACCTACTTTTGTACATATTGTTTTAATAGCATTTATTTGACTTCTAGATAAAATTTCAAAAGTACAGAAAATAATAATAATTGATATAAAATGTATCTATGCATCTACTACTGAGATTAAATAGTGTGAACATTTTACTATATTTGCTTCCTTTCAAAAAAAAAGAAATGAAATTTGTCAAACATCAGATGTATAGATATGTGAAATCAACAATAAAATGTTAATGGTAGTATGTAGATGATGGATATAAAGGTGTTCACTCTTAAAATTGTTTTGTATATTGGTAGCTTTTCATTATAAAATGTTAAGGAGGAATAACGCTTGACAAATAAAGTCCACTCACCTCATCCTTGGATATCCTAGAGTTGGTGTATAATATTCCTGTATGTTTTTATATGCTTGCATTTATCTATAAACTGTGTATACAATTGTATGTGTTTTAAAATTTACATAAATAGCTCATATTCTTTTTCACTTCATTTAAATATTTTGAGATTTTTTTTTCTAGTAATGCACTTATCCTGATATATTCTTTGTAATGACTACATCCCATTATATATACAATTTAAAAGTTTGTTCACTCATTCTCCTGCAAGGACCATCTGGGTCTTTGTTACTTTCTAACTCTAACTCTCCTTGCACACAGCTTGCTGATCTTGTGGTAGCTTCTGTCAACCAGGAAAAAGTGAGGCCTTCAAATGAAAGTCTTACAAGAACTTTCCCAGTGGATGAGGTAAAACATTTTAAAGTCTCTTTCAAGAAAGGCGAGGACTTCAGAGAGATGACAAAAATCTTCATAATAATGAAGACAAAGGCAGTCACTGCCTCCATGACCACATCACAAAATATAGTTGTAGAAGTTGGGAAATAAACACGCAAAGTAAATTTAGAAGAAATAAAATAAAGTTTTATTAACAGTGAACACACAATGGTAGCAGGCTTTTATTTTGAAAGTTCAATCAAGGACAGAGTAGTGAATGATCGCTATGCCCCTTATCACTTTTTTAAAATTCTTTATGTTGTATGAAATATACTTACATCCTAAGGAAATTCAATGGTAAATCCTGAACATTTTTTATAATTAATTACCTCAAAACTCCTGTTCACACTTACTATTTTATTTAACACTTAAAATACAGTACTGTCAAGGCATTATTATTTTTATTTTACAGAGAAAGCTGCTGAGACTCAGATTGGTTAAAGATCTTGACCAGGACCACAATGGCCACTGAGTCTCCAAGCTACAAAAGCCATGAAAGCGGGACTGACACTGGCCACTGCAGGCATGGGCCTCACAGAGAAGCCTCTGAGTCAGGGAGTTGGTCAACCATGATGAAAAGGACAATGGGACATGCAGAATCTGTGGTGATGCAGACCTAAGGAGGTGACATATGGAAATATCACATGGTTGCATAATAAACAGAGAAAAAAACATATTACAGTGCTTTTTTGTAACCTTGGCTACTGTCACTATAGTTTCAAGAAAAAAAAATGTTTTTCTAAACATTGAGAGCATTGCACATATTTTGGCTTCCATCTGCTGATTTCCTCAGCCACAGCCCAGCACCACCAGGTGTCTCTGAGGCCAGAGAGGCCTGAACAGGGCACACTTTAGGGAGTCAGTTTGGTAGTTGTTTCCATGCCTTTGAGTGTTTTTTTTTAAGAGAAAAGGTGATAAAATGCAGAAAGGCCACTGCAAACAGTAGCACTACTCACCGGTCATGAAGAGCAGGAATCTTGGATGGACACTGCAAATACTGCTTAAATCGGAGCTCAAAGGCTTGTCCAATGGAGCCAATGACATCCTGGGCCAGCCCATCACAGCATTCCAGAATGTGACAAGCTGTGGGAGCCAGAGACCCGGGCCTATTAGAGACAAACACTGGAGGTGCCCAGGCTCCTGCACAGAAACCCTCCTGAGGGTGAAAACCATCAACTTCAGTGAGAAAAGGGGGACAAAGAGGTACATGTGTCCTTCATAATATGTCCTGGAGACTCTATCTGCAGCTTAATCCCAGTGTCACTGTCAGATGCATTCTTTAATAGCCTATTCTCTCTAAAATTAAAAATGAATCCCGTTGTGGCAGCTGCCGACCATCCCTCAAGGACACACTGTCCCTCGACCAAGCTGCAGCACAACCCATGAGAAACCTTCAGTAAAAAGAGGATCAAGTCAGGAAAGGCATAGAGAAGGCCCTACTTCTGCTCCTCAAGATAGTGACTTTCCCTGGCACCTCCCAGAGGAGCCTCAGCCTCTCACCCATCGCTGTGACCAGCATGACATTGTCTTGTTACTAATGAGACAGAGGCATTCTTCCTGGAGCAAAGAACAGACATGGGTGTCCCACTACACCTTTCTCTTTCCAACAGTTAGGATATAATTGTATTCAGGGAGGGTTCCTCCAGGAGTGTGGTGGATGCCAGCAGTGAGGAGGGGCCCTTTCTACAAAGGTAGTTGTTTCCATGCACAAGAGACACCAAACTGTCCTCTGGCTGCAGGAAAACCCAGTACACATGAGAGAGAGGACTCCTTAAGATGGGAAACTGCCCAGGAAGGGACAGAGACATCACTGCCTTTGAAGTTTGATGACTTTCAGCACAATGCTGGCTTCTCTATGCACAAAACTCATGGGGGCAGCAGCTGCCCCCATGTCCTCAGCTTCTACCCTGTCCCCCAGGCTGGAGCGGGGTGCACCCCTGAGGACACAGGGGAAGCACTGGTGGGGCAAATAGGGGGACTGCACTGTGTTGTGGACCACCATGCAGTTCTTGGATATACTAGGTATGGCCACGGGATTGGTCCCCAGATGTCCCAGCCATAGTCTTGTCATTGACTATTCATTTTCAGTAGCAACATGGGTAGGCACAAAGCAAGCCCATATGAAACAGCTATTAGAGTTGCTGGGTTATTGGTTAACTGATAGAAATGGACATGTCTTTCCAGTGGATAGGGAAGGAGGAGTCAAGGCTGGTGTGAGGAAGACACCTGGTTCCCCCACATCCCGTATTTCCAGCCAAACACCTCCACCTCCAGCATTGGCAGCAGACTCAGGAGTTAGCTGACCAGTACTTTAAAGAGCCAGAATAAAGACTGGGGAGAGTTCAAGAAATGCACCTTATTTTTCTTCTGAGGAGAAAAGCAGTGCCCTAACCTTTAACATAATGCGTGAAGAATCAGGTTTCAGCAGAGGGAGCCACACAGCGACTCCATGGGACCGCATCTTCCACACACCAGACAGCATCAGGCCTGGAGAGCATCCTCTTGAAGTCAGTTCCACGGATGTTTGCAAGCTGCAGAGCTCCAGGTGGGAGGCCCTCGCTGGGTGAGGGCCGGGTCCTGTCGGTCTAAGATGCCCAAGTTGGCAGAACCACTCTGGGCTCTGCTACCTGGTTCATTCTCAAAGGACTGAGAAAACAGCATCTGTAGGCTAGGTGTGAGACTCCTTCTGTAAAATGCCTATGTGTTCCAAAAACTCACTCCAAATCCAAAACTAACCCTGGGTTGCCAATCTTGCTGGGCCTGTTATTTTCTCTCAGAGTATTGCAATATTCTTTAGACAAAAGCCCCCCTCCTTTGACCTGGCCTGTATGACTTGGTGTGTGTGAGAAATGAAGAGGCTTTCCCCCTGGTGGACATCAGGGTTGCTCGTTTCACCCTCACGAGGAAAGAACAGAGCCAAAGTCATCATTCATGTGCAAGAAGAAGACTAGGTGAGAAACATGTACAGAGCTCAAAATGATGTCGTAAAGCCTAAACATGGCCCAAAACAAACAAAGGAGCAACTGGCCCTTTCGCAGTAGTAGAAAGTGACATTGGAAAAGCCTGACAGAAGTCATAGAGTGAACCATGTGAAGGTCTGGTATAAGAATGTTGCAATCAGGGGCCCAGTTGGTGCAAAGGCCCCGAGGCAGGCGCTAGCTTGGTGTTCAAGAAGAGCCAACAGACCATGGAGCCAGAGGGGAGAGGGAATGGTGGGCAATGAGACAGCTTAAAGCAGGACTGAGCTCACTCAGGTCCTGTGGGCATGGTGATGAGACTAGAAGATGTTTTGTGGAGGGAGGAAAGATTAAGATCTGTGGCTTGTCAAGTATGAGGGCTGTGAGACTTCTGAGCACAGAGGTGCACAAGTCTGGCTCTCAGCCAGAGGCTTAAGTGAGATGATAACATTCAGAGTCTTTGGCACAGGATGTTTAAAGCCCAGGGCCTGGCTTGTATGTACAATCACCGTTGACAATAGCCAGATGTAGAGCTACTTAAATGTCCACTCATAGAAAAACAAACCTCTCACCCAATGTTAGTGGATGGAAATTAACCTCCTAGTTGAAAGAGAAAGGAAAGAAAGGAAGGAAGGAAGGAAGGAAGGAAGGAAGGAAGGAAGGAAGGAAGGAAGGAAGGAAGGAAGGAAGGGAGGGAAGGAAGGAGGAAAGGAAGGAAGGAAGGAAGGAAGGAAGGAAGGAAGGAAGGAAGGAAGGAAGGAAGGAAGGAAGGAAGGAAGGAAGAGAAAGAGAGAGAGAGGGAGGGAGGGAGGGAGGGAGGAAAGGGGGAGGGAGGGAGAAAGAAAGAAAAAACAATCATTTTCGCCCACTGTGCAGAGGAGGGATTTTTGTTGGTTTTTTTTTTTTTACAAAGGAAACAAAGAGGAGGTGCTGTGTTGTTTACCCTCAGTGAGTTCTTACTATTTAAGGCCTTTTCCAGAGAGTTGCCCCCTGGGGACTACAACTGTCCAAAACCAGAGCAACCCTTAGTTTTTTGTCATAACCACTCTGTGCCATTAGCGAAGCCTGGAGTAAGCAAGTGTAGTCACAGGGTGCAGGATTCCCACATACAGGATTCCCGCTCAAACCCATTCGCTGAATTTCCCATTACTGAGAAAATCTTGGAGGAAGAACTACAGACTGTGTTGGAAGCTATTCAGACTAAACACATAGACTTCTTTCCCATTAGGTCAGCATCAGCTATGTGTAGGATATGACTTTCCACAGTCAGATCAGGTTGTGCCGCAGAGGTTATTGCAATTACAAATGATATAATGTGCATGCTTCCTGTGGCAGCCATATATCTAATTAGAGCATGATTTTTTTTTTTAGCTGCTACTGTGATTCAAACAGTGCAATCTAAGCTAATATACATATAAGACTAAAGGGGATGAGGGTCCTTGTGTAGCAAATGAAAATTCCAACGTTTAAAAAAAAAAAAAAAACAATGTGTTAGGATCCAGCAAAGCCTGATTTATTAATATCATAGCTGACAGCTATGGTGCATAGAAAAGGCTGCGAATTCCCATAAGAGGGTGGGTCTTGTTCCCCTTCCTTGAATCTGAGCAGGTTGCCAGTACACTATGTTTTGACAGTACACTATGGCAGAAGTGAAGCTGTCTGGCATTTCAGAGTGCTGGAAGCTGCCACTTCAGTATCATGGAGCTCAGAAGTGCCATGTGAAATTTCCTAATGCCCTGAGAGAGAGGCCCCTCAGACTCCCAAGAAAGGGAGAAGGACTCTGATGACTTAGTCTTCCAATCCCTGCTATCAAGGTATGATGCATGACAATGAAGTAAACTTGGACCCTCTAGACAAGGCTAGCCAAAGGCTCCCCAGTGACGCCCACTGGTTCCACATGGAGCAGAAGAATTAGCCGAGTGAGCCCTGCCCGGATTGTTGACACTTAATCATATCAGAAACCACTAAACTTTGAGTAGTTTGTTATAGGTGACGGATTATTGTAAGGCAGAAGTGCACATCACCCACCAAATCTCCAAGGGCCCCTGTGCCAGTGGCGCCCCCAGAGGACCAGCACCAGTGCCAAGGTCGGCATTTGTCTTACATTAAATAGCACCACATGCCAAAGGGAGCCTGGTACAGCAACCACGGGGCATCAGGGGTGGATTCTGATTTCCATAGGGTTAAAAAGGCACCGTGGGTGAAAGTACTCCTAGTCATGGCTCAAAGCAAGACAGCAGCCTGTATACTTCCATGGCTCTAAGTCAGACTGAACTGGACTGAGCTCCTTCAGGCTCAGAGGCTTATTTCCCAGCTGTGGCTGAATGTGGGTATGACTGGCAGAGCTTTTTGAAAAGTGAGTGTGCCTGAGCCATACTCTCTGAGGCCTGAGCACTGAGATTTTTAAAAGTTTCCTCAACTGAAGTATAGTTCAGTGGTCCCCAACCTTTTTGGCACCAGCGACCAGTTTCATGGAAGTCAATTTTTCTATGGATTGGGGGCCGGGGGCGGGGGGCAGGGCGGGGGGGAGGTTGCTTTCAGGATGATTCAAGTGCATTGCATTCTAGCTCATCTCCTGCTGTGCTGCCTGCTTCCTATCAGGCCTGGACCAGTACTGGTCCACAGCCTGAAGGTTGGGGACCACTGGTGTAGTTCATGTTGAGAACCACTGACCTAGGAGCCACTGAAGATATCAAAAATGTCTAGGATTGTGTGAAGTTAATTTGGAACAAACAAAAATAGAGAAAGAACTTCAAAAACTATTAACCCTGGGCTGAAACTGGGAATTCTGTGCCTGGGGAGACACAAACTGCCACCTACCCCCTCTCCCAACTTGGTGGGATCTTGGGATGATTGAAGGAGTTGGCCTCTCTTAAAGGGTTAAACTGTGTCCCCAATGAAAGATAGGTTGCAACCCTATATCAGAATGTGACCGTATTGGGAAATAGGGTTGTTGTAGACATAACTAGTGAAGATGCAATCAGGCTGGATTAGTAGGTATAATCCAGTGTAACTGGTACCTTTATAAGACGTCCAAATGGAAACAGAGGTATGCCAGGGCACAAAGCCATGTGAAGATCGAGGATTGCAGTAATGCACCCATAGGCCCAGGATGTACACAACCAGAAGCAGGAAGAAGCAAGAAGGATTCTCCCTCATAGGCTTTGCACTGAGTGTGGCCCTGCTGGCACCTTGATCTCAGATTTCTGGCCTCCAGAACTATGAGACAATGATTTCTCTTATTTTAAGGCACCTGGCTTGTGGCACCTAGTTTGCAATAGCCCCAGCAAACTAATAATACAGACTCTAACTGAAAGAATGAGCTGATATTGAACTGTCAATCTGCTTTCTCACCCAAGACAAGTACTAGCTATCTGCAGATATTACATAAAAGTTGTTTTGAGCGCAAGAAGTGGTGGGATAGAGCATGTTAGCAAGAGGTGTTAGGGACAGTCCTCAACTCATCAAAACCACCATGTCCCCTTCCCATCTATGCTAAAAACTTTGTAATTATCCCACTTCTGGTTTAGGAGTGACAATGTGACAATTATAGTACATTATCTGCATTAGAACACCTCATCTATGGAGTCCCCCATTCCCCCAGAGACCCCAGTGACAGCTTATAGGGGAGCTCCAGCACACCTGGAGGAGAATAACAGCTAACATTCTCTGTAAGATCTTATCTTCATCCCCAAGAAAGGCAGCCCCACCAAATCACTGCTTACCAACCATGCTTGGAAAAGGCTCCAAGGGAAAATTGCCCTAACACTTATATGGGAATGCAAATTTTTACAGCCAGTCTGCACAGTAATTTGCAATGTCCATTGTTATATCAATCATCTAACACTGTTTCTCTTCAAATGCCTTTTGCGGGGGCACATAATATTGTGGCCCTAGAGGCCCGAGTGGACTCTGAGGGCCAGATCTCAGTGAAGCCATATCATGGATCAGGTAACCTGATCTCTAGGCTGTCAAAAATATGTCCAATGTCATGGTGGGGGGGGGAGGGGGCGGTGAGCACACAAAATAGAATGCTAAGATCTCATTTGTATTGAAATGTAAAAATAAGAAAACATACATGTAAGTATATAAATGAAAAAAGTTCTGAAAACTAGGAGAACTTAACACTTGGTACCTAGGATAAAGGGTGGGAAGAGTAGAGGAACTGGTGGGTAACAGAGGGAAGTGTTGTTTTGTATTGTTTTAAACCCCACTGGTGACCTTAGTCAATGAGTTCTGAATTGCAGTTGTATGGTGTGCCAGTGACTGCCTAGTCACTGCCTATGGTGTGCCCATTCAAGGGCAGCATGCCCTTAGGCCACCCACCCAGGCTTGCTAGCATCTAGTGAGTGGAGCTTTGGTTTTGTCATTTATTTAAAAAATGGGCGGGGGAGGTGCCCGGAGAGTCTAGGAGTAAAGGCTCCATGAGGATGGAAACTATGTGAATGCCTTGGACCCACCACCCAGGCTGTGTGGCTTTGAGGGGTATAAGGTGATAGGACCTAAGCTTGGTCATTGGCCTTCAGGGCTGTACAGGGCAGGGTAAGGCTTCTCAGGGAGGCGTAGTTAGCAGTGAATACACAGGAGCTGGAGCCCATCAGGAGGTGGATGATTTGTAGTTCTCTATATGCAACAGGGCCACTTTCAGAATATGAGTTGCACTGAGCAGGACAGGTGCTCCAAGTGGTAGCTGGCTGGATATAGGTATGCATTTGGCACCCACAGGCCCAGACAGGTGTGCTGTCACACTTAACTGCTGGCAGACCTCAGTGATGATGAACAATGAGATATGACGTGGGCTCATTTTGGTGAAAGGGGCTGGCCAAGCTGAGAGACACATCTGACTAATATCCAGTGTCAAGCCTGGCTGTATTCGAGGGAGAGATTACAAGGGTCAAGCATTGCTTACCTCTGCGATTAACGGGGTCCTTAGCTACATATGCAACATAGTCTGTTGTGTCCTGTCAAAAAAATGAGATGTTCACATCACTAATCACAAGTGAGAAACACACAGTGCATGAACCAGCTCAGGAATGAAATGCTGCCCAATAACAGGCGCATAAGGCAACATTTCTCATATTGTACCAAGAGCAGAAATCACTGGGAATCTTGTGAGATGCAGATTCTGACTGGGGCGGGGCGGGGTGGGGAGGGGCAGGGAAATGGGGACATTGTCAGGGAAGGGCCCTGAGCTCTCCGTCCACAGCCCACTTGCACACTTGCACACGGCACTGCTGCTTTTCCCAGCCCACACTTTGAGCAGCAAAGATATGAAGGGCTTTTGTTGTCAGCAAGTTGGATCACTGAGGAGCTTTAAAAACACTGAGTAACACCTTCAAGGTAATCTGATTTAACTGGGCTGGATGTGAGGCCTGGGAATCAAGGATGTTTTAAAGCTCCCCAGATGATCCCAACGTGAACCAAGGCTGAGAACCACTCCTGTCATCTCTGTCCACAGCAGTAGTCTTCAAACTTGAGCTGGTGTCAGAATCCCCCAACATAAAATATAAATTAAGTCCCACCCCAGGGTTTCCCATTTGGTGGGTCTGAAGTTAGGCCACAAAATATGAACTTTTGACAAGTGTCCAGGTGATGCTGCTGCAGCTGGTCTGGGAACCAGCCTTTGAGAACTGCTGGTCTATAAAAAACTCAGCAGTGGATGTTCAAAGATGGGTTGCAAACACGCCCTCACAGGTGAATGAGATACAATGGTTCCTTTCTTCTTGGACATAAGTAGTGATTTAAATACTTTTAAGATGTTTCAAAAATATTAGCTCTATTTAGAAGTCTCATCCCTACATGTGAAACGTGAGCCTCCTTGCCTGCCTCCCCATCTAATTAGGGCATAGAGGACATTACAGCCTCAGGAACAGGCCAAAGTAACCACATGGATTTGTTTTTAAACAGTTCAGAGGAACTGAAAATTCTCTTAATTCATAAAAGCAGAAAAGACTTCTCTGCAAAGTTGATATTTGCAACGTTCAAAAAAGTCTCAAGGGAGTAGTGGGCAACTGGGAAAGGTCTATCCCATTGTTGCACATAGTTTCCAAATGTTATTGCTTCGAAGACCTGTAAGGTTGTTGATTAGCTCCTGTTTTCAGCACCTGAAAGGTTCTCTGTCAAGACTTCTTCATTGTTAGATCCTATGGGCAGGGGAGCCAACCTCTTCTCTCCCTACAGCGCTCCCAGAAAACCCTCCAGTGAGAGAGGGGAGGAGGGTGAGGTCATGTGGGTGGGCGTACAATGGTCATTGAACATGCACTGCTGGGTGGTGGGGGGTGCAGGCACTTTCTGTACATCATTGCCCCTGGAGCTGCCAATGACACAGTCAGACCAAGCAGGGGTAGGGGAGCTCCTCCAGCTATCTTCACATAATGGCCTGCTACACCAGGGTCACTCTCCAGTGTGCAGCCCAGCTCAGCTGTCTGCTCTTCCCACTCAGCCTCTGTCCATTAGTATATATTCAAAAAATGACCTGGGAAAGAGAAGAAACAGTCAAATCCATCCACCTTGGCTTCTGGGCATTTCTATCAAGGAAGATCTGGAAAGACTCTGAAGCTATTGGCAAAAGTCAGAACTGTAGCTTGTAATCAGAGACCCTCGTCCTGGATTCAGATGTTAATGTCAAAAGTTTTCTTAGGTAGCGCTAGTGTTTCCCAAACTGAGATCCGTGGAACATAGGGTTGGGAAGGTGTATTCCCCAGCATCTGGAATGTCACCGGAATTTCCTCTTAATTTTGTATTTTCATTTCCATGATAATCTTAAAAACTAATACAAGAATTTTCAGGATCATCTGAATGACCACCATGTTATCGTGTTCTGCACATAGTTTCAGTGCCAAGATATTTAGCTGGGTTTCCAACATTATGAGTACCAGGTTTTTAAAAAGTTAGGTAGAAAAGAACTGCCATCTAATCAGAAAAGACTACATGCCTTGGCCCCATTGGAAGCAAGTTAATGATACATTTATACACAATAATGTACAACTAAGTGTTTGCTTGAATAGAAGAAATTAGCGGAAGAACTGAGTCATCTGGCACGCATGAGAGATGCTGACCTCAAAAGATTCATGGTAACCAGTTCTAGCGTCACACTGAGAGCAGAGATTTCATTTCACCAAAACCCATCAGAACAAATTAATGTTACCTTCAACCTCATTGGCTTTACCGTGTTAATTAATAAACTTCCAAGTTTGATTGGGGTTTATACTTCAATAAAAAGTATAACATAGGAGTCTATACTTTATTTTTGTACATATTTGGGTAACAAAATTAATTTGAGTCAACAAGTGACAAACACAAGAAAATTCTTCTTTTAATTTTTTTTTTCCAATCTGAGAAACTCTGCTCAGAAGATGTAATGTATTCCTGTCACTCCGATGGTCAATGGCCAAACCAGGACATAGATCTTCTGATGCCAATAATTTTTTTGGCACACTAAGGGAGTGTATTGCTGTTTTAAAAAAATGTTCTTGACATCACATGAGTGAGCAAATAAAGTTCCAAAGATGGGGCTACCAAGTGCTTGTTTTGTATTTACTCATCTCTGTTCTCACTCTCCAAGACTTACTGAGCTTGACCATTATTCTGGCATTCTTTTGGTGATCTTATAACACTGTAAATAATAGTAGATTATAATTCATGTGTGTCCTTTTTTCTTGGAGAGATTAATGTTGTTTTCCAATCCACCTTATTTGACATTTCAAAATATCATTTTCTTACCTGGTAAACTAAGGCACAGAGCAATTAGTAGATATACACTTGGCAGCAGAACAATGAATAAAATCTAGAATTGTTGGTTTTATTTAAAACACCCACCAAAAAATAAATAAATAAATAAAACACCCACCAGCTGTAATAATTACAAACCAAATCATTATGAGAAGTCATGGACAATGTGATATGCACTTGGATTGCTTACAATGGAAGTGGAAAGTAACGAGGCTTTTAACGGCGACATTTTCTATATCAGAAAAAATCAAAATGAATATAAAATGTTATGAATTATGTTAAGGGTCCCTGAATGCTTCCTCTTTTAAATGAGGTGGTGATAGGGACAATTGAAAATAGTTCACAAGTTGTATGAATCCTAGAGAACCAAATAAATTTTAGCACAGGACAATGTATTTGGCTTCCCATTTGCTAGATCTGTGCATCTCCACTCATGATATCATCATGGAGATGAAACTTGCAACAAGTGCCCGAAAGGAGCTGTCAGTGCAGGTGTGCAATGTTTCTGCCTTTTATTTTTCAAACTGGGTCACCTTCCAACTTAAAGAAACTATTGTTTCAAGCATCACATTGAGCAAACAAGTAGACAGCCACTGCAAGTTAATTAGAACCAGATACAGATATAGATAAAAGCATAAGAACAGAAATGTGCATAGGTGCAATGCAGGCACAGAATAGATGTATTATGTACATCTAAATTTAATTCTCAAGAATGCACCTGTGGTAGGTTTGATTATGGAATACTTCCACTTTCCAAATATACAACTCAGTGAGATCTTTCATTTTACAATGAAATATAAGAAATTAAAGGACTAGAAAAATAAGGGAAGGGAAGGGAAGGGGAGAGGAGAGGAAAGGTGAGGGAAGGGAAGGAAAGGGGAAAAGAAGAAGAAACTATCATAGGTGACTTGAAAACATGACCCTAAGTGTGAAAAGGGGCCAAAGTTCACTAAATGAGATGGTTAAATGGTGGTCTGACCACTCTTTGACTATTAAACAGAAGTTTAAGGGCAAAGAACCATTTTCAGGGTAGACAAATTCCTTCTCTTGACAGGGCCCTTGTTTCAAGGGTCTTAGATGGAGAGATACCCAAGCCTCTCCCTGAGGCCAAGCTCTCTGGGCAGGAGCAACGCTGGGGCAATGCATGTGGTGATGCCCTCCTGGGGGCTGTAGCAGCTGGGGAAGGGCAGGGTGGAGTGCTGCCTCTCCTATAGCTAAGACACTCTGTGCCATGACTGCACTACCCTTTGGAAATGTAGAGACTGGAGCCAGCAGTGGAAATTGCTCCCTCATTTGGCTTTCTATGTGCCAACAGCAGTTCTACAATCAGGTTACCCAGGTAGAAGGAACCTGGGAGGAAAAATCTGTAAGATAAACACGGGTGTGGGAAAACTTTCCTTCTTTCCTTCCTGGGCTAGAAATAGACAAGGTCCCTGCCTTGGGATAAGGAGTAATATGTCCAACCGATTACTCAGGCCTTGAACCAGTAAACTTTTACTTGCAATCTAAGCATTGCCTACTGATAATTTGGCAAAATAATACAAAACAACAATTATAAGAAAAATTCCACTATAAGGCACCATTCTTTTGTTATTAAAAAAAATTAACAGCTAAAAGACATCTTCCCGGGATATAGAACAATTTTTTTTTGATTGAGTAAATTTAGCTCTAAGAAAAATTCACTCTGTTGTCCTAATTTTTAGATGTTTCCCTGGACTGGTGAGAACTTTTCCCAAACCAATGAAAAATAACATGACAGCATATGGGGGCGGGGGGTGGGGGGGTGGCGGGCAGGAGCTTTCCTCCCCTTCACTGCTGGGAAGAGCTGCATATCAGGTGGCCTCTACACCTTGTTCCCCCATGACTGATTTCCTGCCTGGGTTTCTTCAAAGGGCTGGGCTGCCCACTGTGAACAGCAGTGAGTGTGCTCTTCTGAAACTGAACGTGAACACTGACATCACAGCATCACATTCCTGACCCAATGTGACAAGCCAATCTCCTTGTTATTGCACTTCCTGCATAAAATAAGTGATGCAAGAACAGAACATTCTCATTCTGTTCTATCTCTCTCTGTCTCTACACCTCCTTACCTGTTGGCTAAACAAACCATTAAAAGGCTACAGTATTAAATTTGGAGAGAACAATCCCAATTTCAAATATTTATGAAAAAACCAGACTAAGTAAACTCACAGCATTCGAGTAGACTTAAGATATAAAAATAGAAGACCCTAGTGGAGGTCCAACAAAAAAAAAGAAACAAAGCAGGGCAGACTGACTCAGAAGACATTTGGAAATGCTGGGAAGCTCTTTCATTACCTCTTAAGAAAGCCAATGCTTTAAGGGCTGTTGACAGCTCTTGGCTAATGAAATAATTTAAAACGCTTACGAAATCAGGAGGGGGAAATAGTTGGCATTACAGTAAACTTTCGTGATTGTATTCTAAGAAGCGCACCTCAGAAGCAGGGCCCCTTCTCATCAATTCCCAACAAGATCAAGAGAAAATAATGCCAAGGACACTTACCGGATCCCCCCCGGAGGCGAAGGAGATAGACTGCATGTGGTGATTCGCTATAATCTGCCAGGTCCAAAACAAGAAATGAGATGTGTCGTTATTACACTTCCCATGTTTTGGAAAGCCAACTGTTTGTTGCTACACAATATGAATCAACAAGGTTTCTTAAAAATTGGTAAAATCAGTGCCCAATAAAAATAACAACTATAAAAGTAATAACAATAGGTAACCTTTAATGAATTTCACAGCATGTCCACTGCTCCTCTAGCAGCTTTGCCACAATTAGCTCATTTAAGCTCCACAATAGTTCTGTGATGTAGGAGCTGCTGTAATCCCATTTCAGACACAGAGGCTGAGACCCAGGGGAACCAAGTGGCTTGCTCAAAGTACTATAGTTGCTAATGGGCAGAGCTATGACCCAACACGAAGGGTCTTAGCAACCAAGCCTCTTTGAGAAGAAAAATGTCTCACCCACACACCAAAACATTTCAACTGTGTAGTGTCTGTTTCCAAAGGCATATGGGAAGACCCCACAGCTGGAGTGGAGGAAGTGTGGCCATCCCCCACACCAGCGCATTTGCATCATGTGCTTATAAATTGGAAAGCCTACATCCAAGATCAAAATTGGTGCCATCTCAGGCATTTTTGTAATTTATCAATTTAAAAACTAGCAAGGACACTCCAAGTTCATTTTTAAATAAGAAATTTCCATTAGCATTATAAACTGCAGGACATAGTGTAATTTAGCAGATGCTAGAAATTAGAAGCTGCCCTAAATTTAAAAAGCTACATAAGACTTCCACACCACTTTTATCTTTTTAAAGACAATGTAACAACATTGAAGTAAATTCCTGGGGGTGGGAACAGAACTGTTTTCTCACTTCCAACATAACCAGGTTTATTTTTGCTTAGCCCCCTCAGGCCCTCACTGGTGGGCAGTCAGAATTTACATTGCTGTTATCCTACCATCCAAGGGATTTTTCTACCCATGCTTCTGTAAAACCCAAAGCAAAACTATAAATGAATTGTAAGATAAAATAAGATATTTTTAAATGCCTGCTTCAGTTTTGGGGGCATGCAAACCTACTCAGGGCCTAGAAAAACCTGAGCATATAGTAGTTATGTTTCGGGGAGACTCAAAAATTATACATGACTTTTGCCTGCACAGGGATAGCACCTCTAACCCTGGCATTGTTCAAAGGTCAACTGCAAATGAATGAAAACAATGAGTCCAGCTCTGTAGCCTATGTCCAAATTCAGATGGATCAAACCAACAGTTGCCCTTTGCAGCTTTCTGGAGTCCTGCCACTAGTCCAGGGTGGAGGGCTCCTGGGAGAGCAATGAGGACATAGCAGTCCCCAAAAGAGGAAAAACTATGACTTCTAAAATTAAGTTTTGCTCATTTAATTATTGTTTCCAGAGCAGCTCTAAACCTGGGGTTTGGAAATCAAGGTGGACACTAAGATTTAGGAGCAAAATGGAAATCACATTGGGGCAACATGATGCATAACTGTCACTGTGTGTGTATGTGAGCCCTCTGGCTAAGAGAGTTGAAAAGGAGAGCTAATTAATTGAAAAATGAGTCTTTGCTTTGAGGGTGTTTCCTCTCTTCTTGAGAGCTCTGCAGAGGGGAACGGGCATGGCCCTTCTACTGTTTGCGTTGGGAAGGGAGTGTCCACTTGGCTTATTCTCAGCTTGCCACAGCCAGACCCTCAACTCAGCCACACAGGAGAGCCTGAGGGCTGTGAGCTTTAGCTCCCTTCTTCAGACCATGCTCACAATGTCTGAGCTGGCACTCCCAGGACTCATTCCCACCATCTATTCCAAGGGCAGGACAACGAGAACTGGACATACACAGCCAGCCCCATACCAGGATAGAGGGGGCCAACCAGGGTGGCCTAATCCTTTCTGCTTTTTCTGAGTTTTCTTCTCCTTATTTTAAGGTGGGGAAATTAGATAAAAGGAAAGTTAAGAGATAAGATCCTGCAGAATTGAGGACCAGAGTTAGGATTCCTAGAAACAAAAGGTGCAATCAGCACATAGAACAAGAATGGATGTGGGCATATGAGTGCAGAGCTGAGGGGACCAACATCTCTTACCCGTCACAGGTACTCAGCATTGGGGATGTTCCAGAGAGAGGCTGAGCCTGTTGAGGTTACTTAATCTACCACTTAACTGACAGATTAACCTATCCCTTAGAAGTGCCGATGAGAAAAGACAAAGGATCATCCATTACTTGAGTGAGGAAAAAGGAAAGCAGAAGTGGTATCCAGTATGGTAACACACTACCAGTCAGGAAATATGTCATCCGTAGGTCTGTGGATTGCCCATCCTTTACAGTGTGGACACATCTAATTTTCAAGGTCATACTGCCAGCTGTGGAGGCCTGGGCTGAGCAGAGCAGGTGAAGGCATTTATGGTTTGAGCATTTTCCCCTGTTGGTCTCCATGGTGACCAATCTATTAGTCACTCATATATATATTTGAGCCATAATATTAAACAATTGCCTCTAATTGTTTTTTGACAAATGTCCCTAAAATGACATTTTTCCCCCTCTTTGGCAAGCTCTGAATGAGGTCAAATAAAGACAGCTTTGAGAGTACGATCTTCCAGGGACTGACCAAACAGGTCATATAACATAAAACCATTTTTCTAGCTGATAATGGCCGGAGAAACCTAAGAAAGAAACTGCAGAGAAACCCAATAGACAGAATTAGCCTAAATAAACATCGCTGCTGTGCTGACTTCATCAGTAACAAAACTCCTTCCACGCTGGAAAGCCATGGACCTGCCGTATTATATGAACCCTATGATGCTATCATACTTGAGAGCCAAAATAGTGGCCCACTAGGAAAAAATTACCACGACATGCCATTCATTTCAAAGATAATAAAATGTGGGGTGTAGAACCAATGGAATATAGTATAAGAGAAAACAAAATGGGGCAAGGACATTAAGAGGAGACTTTTGACATTGTAAGTAAATAAATGATTTCATACATTATCCAAAAAAAAAAAGAGGTAATTTATAAAACAATTAAAGAGAGCCAACTCCAGCTATCATCCTGTTGATGACCCTTCAAAGTAGCCAGTCAAATTTTGCAGGCTCATAAAGGTGTTACACAAGTGTGCTCCACGTGGACCTGGGAAGAGAGAAGCCTGTGAAACACCCACTAGGTGGGGGCCACTGACTGGGGCAGGGGGCCTGAGTACCTACAGACCTGTTTTGAGTCCGGCGTCCGCAGGTTCAGGCTGGCAGTGGATATGGTCAGGGAGATGCTCATCCCCGCAAACTGAAGGTTGCTCTTGCCCAGGATGCTGGACAGCATTTTGCTTGGAGGCTGTGAAATCATGCAGCATTATTTTCGCTTTTGAGTCACTGGAGGCCACTCTTTTGGGGCCTCTATGTTGTTCTTATCTGCTACATCCCCCCAAACTTCCACCTTCTCATCCTCATTAGGCACATGAAAATTATGCTTCAAAAAAGCTGAGAGGGGGAATCTGACACTAACACAAAAATTCTAGAATGTGCAACATGGGAATTGTAAACCACCCACTATGCACACACTGAGAAGAGGGAAAGGCAGAGCTGTCAGTGGCCCAGGCAGCTCAGGCTGGGATGCATCTCATGGTGTGACTCGCTAGCCTGGAGAAAGAGCCACAGGCCAGACCTGAAGTTTTGCAGACAGAGAACTAGCTTCATTCCACCAAGAGTCATACTAGTCAGAGCCAGACTAAATCAGTCCAGGAGCTATGAGCAATACCATTTGAGTTATGAGAATGCCTGCTGCTGAAGGAATGGAACACAAATGCTTTGCCTGGTACATTCTCTGGGTCAGAGAACATGGATAGTCCAATTAGAATACAACTGCTTTGGAGCCAGTACAGACTAGAAAGACTCAGCTCTGCTCTAACTGGTGCATCCATCAGTCCATAAGAAATGTTCTTGGCACAGGAACCAATGGACTGCATTCTCCAGCCAGGCACCCTCTCCCTGGGTCCCTGCATGGGCCGCCAACCCTTGTCACTGTCCATTGCTAACCCCCCAACTTTACTGTTCAGATTAAAACAAACCCCCTTTGACATGCCAATCAACCCCAGTTCTTAACCACGCAGGTACAGTTAGTTTGTGAATCTTCTGCCAGAACTATTCAACGACAGAGCTTCCTGGGCCCTGATCAAGTATACCTGGGGGAGAGCATAGAAATCAGCATCATTTCTACTTCCTGCACCTAGAGAACCAAGTGGGTACCCCAAGATTTGCCAGTAGGGCACCACCTGGTTCTGAAAGAGGAGGATCCCTTGTCTCTTTTCTCAGACACCCTTCTAGTTCCCATATTCAAGATGCTGGAGGTATGCTTGGTTCCCCAGGTCCCCTGTGAGATGACAGGAACACAGGCCAGCCCACCTGAGCCTTCATCCCACAAAGTTCTCTGCCTGAAACTCAGTTGCCCTTTGGGTCACAAATGTCCCAAACCTATGAAGACAGAAATGACTCACAGCCCTGGGATAGCAGAGGCAAGCACACAGACTGCCCCAAAACCTCAGCCTCAGGACAGATTCAGAGATATTCAGAGGGATACTCTCCCACATTCAGTTCAGGCACAGAAAAGTACTGATGGTTGATATTTAGTTATGTGTTTACTAGACACTTAAGGGAAGAGTTTTTCTGAGCTTTCTCTTAATCAAGATTTTCTTTTTCCTACTGGTCCAAATACCTCAAGATAAAAACGTTGAGTACAGGGATTTAACATATAGCCCCTGGAAACAAGCGGTCTGGGCTGGAGCCTGGCTCCATCACCTATTTGCATCATGTGCTCTCGTCTGTGTGCCTGAGTTTTTATCTCTGTATAATGGGGATACCCAGTGGTATTCTAGAGCTGCTTATGCTAGGTAATAAGAGGCAATTATTGAATGTTTAGGAATTTTATGAGCTGGCCATTAAAAACAGCTGCTATTAAAAATTAATTTATGGAAAGTTACAATTAAATAAATTATATTTTAAATACTCAAAACTCATCACTTCCTAATTTTTGCAGCATTAACTATTACCTGCAGTTCAGGTTGTTTACGTCCATTGTACCTGTGTTACCTGTGTGGTGGAGATATTGTATAATGGTGTCTGCACATCTATGCCCTACTCCAACTTAGAGATATCATGTTAGAACCTGAAATTCTACATGGTGGAAGTATTTATACCACAGAAATTGACAAACACTATGAATTTCATGCTTCTCAGTTCCCCGCCCCTGAAAAACAGTTGTGAAACTTTTACCAACACACTACTGAGGATGTCTGCCACAGAGAGTTGTTCTAATGAAGTAAATTAGTGATTCCAAAGGCTTAGAAGAATGTCTGGTTCTGTTTTACCAGTCTGTTATCATTGTCTTTATGCTTAGGCCCACAGTGAGTAACGAAGGTGTCAAATTTGGGTTGGCAGCAATAGCTAACTGTCTTTGTCAACCACGTGGCAAAGAGAGGGAATCTAAGCTCTTTCTGTTTTTAAAAGTGACAAGAGCCACTGCAAGTTATTCCCTTTAAATTAAGGGATGTTTTTTTGTTCTCCCTGGGCAAAAAAGAAAAAAGTGATAAGAGGCAGGCCATGAAAAGAGAGAACTGAACAATTGCGTGTAATTAAAGATGCTGAGTGGTGACAGGAGAGCGAAGAAGTAGAGAAGACACAGACACAGAGCCGAGAGGACCCTACCTTTCTTTTCCTGAAGGCTCCCTTGGTGCCAGGGACAGCTTCACAAACACGGCTGATGGCTTCCCTTTAAGAGGACAGGAAGAGAGATTCATTTGTCATGTCAATCAGGATTACATAACCCAGAGAACCTACAGGTGAATGTTCCAGGAGGAATAATTACCTATGTATTACAGCATAGAAAATAGACCTGCGAGCTCGTGAGTCACCCAATTTCTCCTCTAAGCAGAACTCGAACAGGTCATCTTGAACCTCTGACTGGCAGTACCCTAGCTCTTTCTGTGACAGTTGCATATTCATGTGCGCTAGGTATATATCAATTCCACACATTGCTTTAGTTTTTATTTTGTTTTCTATGTTTGGTTAAGATTCTATTTCAGAGAGTCAGTATCCTGAAATGTACTCTTCATGTTCTGTTCATGGTGATGGCTACTCTTAATCAAGTCCTGCTATTGATCAAGAGCCTTCTGAAATGAGTTAGAATGTAATTAAAAGAAATGTAATTCTTTGACTCTTATTCCCAATGACAAGAGAAAAATCCTGAGATGTCCTAAATTAAATTGCAGTAGGTTCTAAAGGGTGGGATAAAAAAGTTAGAGGTTAATTAGTTAACAGCTTGGAGCCAAACCCAACAAAAGACTGTTCACATTCCTGAATGTGTGTTGAACTTTGAATCAACTTTGGTGACTATTTCAGCTCTTATCTAGAAAGAACAGCCAAACACTCCATCCTGCTTATGCTGGAACTTTCCCACTGTTGCCCATGACCAATCCAGAAGTTCTCTGCACCTGTCCTAGAACTGCCCCCACTTCACCTTTTTCCATCTCTTTACCTGTAGTCAATGTAAATTCTTTCCAAATATCTTCTATCTGTTTCTCCACACTCATTGTATAAAAGAGCCCATGAATCCCAGGATGGTGGACATGCTCATTCTTCACCCTGCTGATGGTGGCTCAGATTGCATGCCCCAGGACCTGGTCCTTTTAATGGCTAGAGCAGAGATCAGTAAACCCTTTATTTCAGGCAAACTTTTGCCCTCATAGGTTTTTGTTTAACACCAGCTTCTATAGTTAGTAAATATCATAAAATCAAAAGGGTTTTAAAAAAGAGGAACTCCTGGGGTATACAAATGAGCCATAAATGAGGTTCTGTGTGGGTCAATCCCATGGCGCAGGCATTTATTGAGCAGCTAAAGTGTGCCAGCCACAGTTGTCCTGAAGAAAACAATGAGTGTCCAAGGTATTAAGGGACCTTACAGGAGGACAGGCTGTGGAGGGTCTGACCGCCAGGTCTGCACAGGGCAGAAGAGCACAGGAACACAGAGGAAAAGTGCACACGCAAGAGGCTGAGGCCTACAACAAGGAGGATGTGGCTGGAGTAGTCACATGAGAGCAAACGAAGCTCAACTTTGTGACTCACCCTCAGTGATAAATGATTAGAGATCTACTGAAAATGGCTCCAAAGTCAGCAGACCAGAAAGAGGCCAGGTGAACCTCTCAACTCCCACGTGGGGAAGGACGAAACAGTAAGAGAACACAGAAAAAAATAAGCAATCAGCAGTTGGGGGATACGCTGAATGATAAAGAAGATAATAGGTCCTCAGGAACATTCCACAAGCTTTCTCAGCTAAATACTTCTTGAAATTATTTTCTATCATCCGGAAAAATAATTACCATCACAATACATTGCTTTTAAGAGAAATATGACCTTGTCAAATAAGAGACTAAAAAGATAAACTTCACATTTACCATTTAATTCATTGTAGGAACTGGGGAAAGATATGCTATTCTAAAAGTCAGGTACCATGAAAACTGTAGACTGTGAATCAGCATGACTCAGGAAAAAATGTTTATTTAAAAGAAACAAATAAATTTGATGTTTATGCTTAGTCATTTATTTTATAATAATATTCTTACTGTGGTTCTATCAAAATGATCACCCAAAGTACTTTCTAAAAGTAAATTCCTATTGAAGAAGGTCAAGTTGTCTTTTTTAAACAACTATATAAACTCTAGTATCTATATTTTATGTTTAATTTTTTTTAAAGTTTGATGTATCCCTGCACTATACTTGGTATATTAAGTGATATATTTAGCTAAACAAAGCAGCTAATTCTCTGATGGTCCCAGTAGGCAAGAAAAACATTTTAAGGTAGAAAGTCTACTATATGTCATTTCTTAAATATGCCTAACATGCATCAGATTTCTTTTTCCATCCACAGCCATGGAAGATAAGAGTCTCGGATGATTGTTTTCCAGAAAGAAATGTTAAATGTCTAACGTATAGGTTAGACACCATCCAAGGTCTAATGTAGTCAGCCCAACATAGAGCTCGGGCAGCAAGCTTGCTGTTAATTTGCATGGGACAAGGAGGTGGAAATAACAAATGAGCATTAAGAATAGGAGTATGGAGTAGAATGCAAATAATAAACATATTCTATCAAACAAATCCTCCCAGAGAGAGGCATACAAGTATATCAGGGCACAGTAAGAGACTCAATCTTACCTCAAAATGTGCAAACATAAGAAATTCAGAAAGTTTTCAAAGCTCACAGACTCAGGATAGTCCTAACGATACCCTTGTGAGCCAGCCTTTAGAATCCCCAAAGAGGTTGGCAAATCAAGCTGCTTTTCAGAAAAATGTTCTCCCTTCTCATTGGCATAAATTTGTTCCTAATGCTCATATGATAGTATGTGTGTGCAATTCTCATTTTAATCAGGCTGATGGTATCTATTTTTGTTTGAAGTAGAAATGTGACATGCCTATTAATAAATGAAATTAGTAACTTTAATTCCAATGTCTAATTTTAAATATAACAATTCTGATTATTCCCCTGTTTAGTACCTGCATTTTGGTGAGCAGTACTGTTTCAATTTGTTCATTTATCAATAATTATGTAGCTTTGTGTCATTATTTTTAATCCCAGTATAAGTCTAAGGTAATAATTTTGCCCTGTTTTTAATAATAGAGATTGCTTCTTAACATTCTGTTCAGTGCAATCCCCTTTTGGTAAGCCAAATCATGACCTCAGAGCTCAGTTAATAGGAAAATGAAATATTTGGCACCATCACAGTTATCTGAAAGTTACCCTAAATGCTGACCTCCATTTTTTCATGATTTCACCATCTTCCCCTATTCAGCTAAAATTCTCATCATTAGGGCCAGCACCATTCACCTTTCAGAACTTTTTTATTATCACGTAGGACTTTTGAACTAGAACCTTTCAAATCATGTAGCACCATCTTTATCCCTATTTGTCCATTTCATTGTTGCTAACCCGATCTACTCTCTCTCTCTCTCTCTCTCCAGATTCAATTAAAAAAAAAGAATATCTGGGTGATTTCCTGCACTCAGGAGATTATATTTAGTATGGGAGAGGTAACCTACAAACACATACAACAGCAAATTGCAATCAACTTCATGAGCAATCAAAAAGGAGAGACTCATGTAGTGAAGAGGATCAGAACAGAGCATCCCCAAATAGACCACTTTGGCATAAGGATTATTTTGAGCTAAAGGCAACTGAGAAGCAGCAGATTCAAGAAAAGCTCTGTGTCCTCCCCTATTTGCCTAAAAGCAGGACATAAATTTGTAAAGGCATGCCCATCCCCTCTCTACCAGGAAGCTCTACCAGGGGTGTCCAGCCTGTAGCCTGCAGACCGCATGAGCCCAAGATGGCTGTGAATGCAGCCCAACACAAAATCATATATTTACTTAAAACATTATGAGATTTTTTTTGTGATTATGTGTCACAATGTACTTAATGTGTGGCCCAAAGACGCTAAAAAGTTAGACAGCCCACCCCTATCAGCCCTGAGTTGCAGCAGAGAAATCTGCTTGACAAACCTTGCTACTGGAACCACATCTTCCATTAGTTCCCACACACATTTACCTTCCCACAATCTGCTGTGCCAGACACAAAGTCCTTTCCTTTGTCTTGTCACTTCTGTACAGATTTACTGATCTTTGGTTAGGAGATAAGCCTAAATTCTAAACACTTTTTTTAGTTACTTATTACTGAGTTTCCATGCCTGTATGCACAGGCATTAATCAACCATTTGTTTCTCTTTTGTTAATGTCTTTTGTCTGATTTGCAGGATCTAAGCCAGAGACATAGGAGGGCAAAGCAAAAATGTTTTTCCTCCCCTACAGTAATAAATGTGGTAATGCACATCAGGAAGGGGAAAGAGTTACCTAGTGAGGCGCATTCGAGTCACTGGGCAGCTAGGGAAGGAAAAGTAAGTGGCATTCCAATCTTGTGCCTTATATGCAAATAAATCCTAGATAGATCACAAATTTAATTTATTTGTAATGAAACTAAAAGTACTAAAAAATAGGACTTTTAAAAAATCTTTGAGTGAAAAGATAATACAAAATCCAGAAACCACAAAAGAATATATTGAAACATTCAAAAGAATTAAAAAAAATTGTATACATAAGGAAAAAAATAATATTTCATGGAGACAATGGTTTTGATACAAGTCAATAAGAAAACATCAAAAACCCAGTGGAAAATAGATGAATGATAATGAAAAAAGTTCACAGAAAGTACAAGTGGTTCTTAAAATTATGAAAAGGTCCTCAGCTTCATTTATAATAAATAAATACACAAATTAAAGCCTACACTAAAATTCCTATTTTTACAGCCAAATATTAAAGCTTGATAAGACTCCACATCAGTGAGGAGGTAATTCGGCACAGTCTCCTTGGGGTCAGATTGATCAGCTTGATCAAATCCCAACAAATGCACAGCCCCTCTGGTCCAGCAATTCTACTTCTTGCACATACCCTCTAAATACACTCGCAAACAAGCCTGAAGACTTCTGGACACCTCCACTGACTACAGTAAGGTTTCCAATAGACTAAAGAGAAACAATCAATGTCCATGATAGGGGCTGGTTCAAGAAATTATGGCACCTCCATAAAATGGACCACCAACACAGAGAAGTTGATAGTGCCCCCTGCCCTCTCACCTACCCTGTCCTCCTCAGCTCCCTCCACACCAGCTCTAGTTCACACTAGTTTCCCTGCAAAATCACTAACAGCCTCCAAGGCACCAAATCAATG